ATGGTTGTGAGGTTGTGTAGTTTTTCTCTTTAGCATGAGTGCTTGTGAGGAAGTGAGAAATGGGTATATTGCTCCATTCCTGTCAAGGGTTTGAGTTACACCGAAAGGGACTCAACTTTGAGTTGATCGGAATAAGATAAAAAACTAGACACTAAGTCTCAAAGGGTGAGCCACCTTTGAGCCGAGACGTAAAGCAATAGGCCGAACTCGATTAATAAAACATCTTATTTACGTGTACTTCACCTTACTCATCTCTATATTGTACGTATTTGCTTCTCAACAAGTACACGACCTTGCTTATCTAAGATTGAAGATGACCATATAAGGACCAGAGCTCATCTCGTTAAACTTTTGGGGTTGAGCAACTGGTCAAGCCCGGCCAACCCATGAGCCGAGAAGACCGATCTATAACTAATCATGTTACATTTATCGTATTTATAGTATTATTTGTGTACAACACGTATGTTTTACATATTTTATCCAATAATCAAATACCCAGTTCTACTACAACACATAATCAAATACCCTGTTCTGTTAAATCTTTCTATCTACACAAACATACATTTGACGCGTATATATCAAATCAAACAATACATTTCACGAAGACGTAATACAATATCATACAAAAAAAAAATCATAGTACATGCAGTACTTTACTACCACAGTAATACTACCACTGTTCGGTAACTTAGCAAGTGGGCTGGTTGGAGTAACCATGGCGGCCGCCGCAGAAATGGTGGAGGAAGGAGGCTACGGAATCCACAATGCTATCGAACACCATTTTCTTCACCAACTTTCTCTTCGCCGGCATAACTCCCCCACCTCTCTTCTTTGCTCTGATCGCCTTCACTGCCGCTCCTTGCTCTTCACTTCGGCGAAGTTCCATCTTCAGCGCCTAGAGAGCTTTTTTTTTTTTTTTTTTTTTGTTGCTTTGAAAACTATGGCCTTTCGTGTTGAATATATAGAGAATGTTAGGAGAGAGAGAGAGAGAGGCGTAAGGCAAATGACGACTGCTGAGTTGGAGGGTAGGTGCTGATTTGAGCTTAGCTAGCTAGCTAGTTGTGTCGTTTGGACTTTCTTTTCACTCGGCTTTCTAGCTAGCTAGGTGGTCGAATTTGCACTAGAAATTACTTGGGTTTGAGTGTGAACTTGACTAGTGAATTGATGAGATCCTTGTGCCATGAGAAACTACATGCATGTGGTTTGACATTAGTTATGTGTGTGTGTGTGTAAGCTTGTGACCTTGGAAAATTCTGGGAACGAACAAAGTCACAATCACATTTACTGTTGGTGTTTGGAAAAGGGAGCTACTACGGGAATGGAGTCAACTTCAGTTGATGTGTTAACATTTTTTATGCATATGTTTTGTGTTTTGTACGATGGTTCCATTAAAAAGGAGAAACGTTGGCATTAAGTATTTTTTTTTTTTTTAAACACGGCATTAATTGTGTCTTGGAATTAATATAAACGGTTACAAATTTTTTAATTTACAAAAAGGTAATAAATCTGAGTGCGCCTATGGTGACATGCATGTTACGGTGACTTGCACTTTTCGGTCGACTTCAGTTAGGATTAGGTCGACCTCATATAAGATTAGGTCGACCTTATTTAGGATTAGGTCGACCTCATAATCGGTTGTTTCAGTGCAAAAATAGTTTCATGGTGTCTACTTTGGAGATTCATATCTTACAATTGGCTCGATGGAAATTGGAAATTAATGGCTTGCTTTGAAGCTGGAGTGTCCCTCTACACATTGAAGTGCTTGGGAGCTCGATAGGAAGTCCAGAAGACCATTTTTGAACTTGATCAAAATGATATGCCAAAACTGGAAAACTGGCTGAAAATTGCTAAGTCTAGGAACGTGTTTGTGAAGCCTACTTTGGAGCTCAATTCGAGAAGCATGGATGCAAGTCGAGTCTAGGGGCCTCTACCACGTTAAATTAGGTATGTTTTTATACAAATTCAAATCATTGGATCAAAGATTAGATATCTGTAAGGCTTCAAACAAAAGGATCGAAGTTGCTACGAAGATTGTTTTTCTGGCAGACTTCGAGCACAAGCAAGCTGCTTTTTATCTAGCTGTTTAGGCCTAAACTATGCCCCAGAAAGACTAATTTGGCCCGACCTCTAATTTTCTGTCAAAATAGACGGTCAATAACATTGACCATTAGTTAATCAGCATAGTTCACTGACATGGATGCCACTTAGATAATAAAAATATAAATAAAAATCAATTATGTTAACCGTCAAATTTGACAGGAATGGGACCAAAATGGTACATAATTTAGGTCATGATGGGTATTTCACAAACCATAGACCGAAGTAGTTTATTTGTGTAAAGTTTGGGTCTTCGGGAGAATTAAAGGTATTAACGCTTGATTATTTTGTGACCATATCTTGTTATAAATTTTCTAAAATGAAAATGTATCCACTAGTGAATTGATCCAAAATAGGAGTTGGAAATAGTATCACACTATTAGTGGCGGAGCAAGTGGGTGGCCACGCCGGGCCTTGGCCCAGCCCTTCTTTGGGTCCAGAGCGAATATTACACTTATGATTTTTTTTTTTAACATTCGTTCCAGTGTTATTTTATAATAAGATTGTGTATAACTAGGATATTGATTAAGATCAACATATTCAAATCACTACTCTAAATTTAGCTTAGAAATTCTAGTCACGGATATTGTTATGTAAGGTTATACACCAGACAGTTACTGCCATATCCATAACAATGGCATAGAACAGTATCATTTCTTTCTATGATAGACGTACAACAAATATCATACAAAAAAAAAAAACAAATTAATAACATGCAGAACTTGAGCCTTTGAAGACTTATTTCTTAAGAAAAAGACCATATCATATCAACCCAATAGACAAATCTCAAGACATAGATTAGGACCCTTCACAAACCTCTCTTGATTCACCCAATAGACAAATCCATCACATCAAGCCAATAAAATCAATCCAGCCTTGTACCTATAGCTCTCTAGTGGCCGAAAGGAACTACGATCTTCAAAAGCCTTGCACTTGAAGGCACCAACGGTAATAATACCACCGTTGATTTATTTTCCGATTGATTTATGGCCTTTCTTGTTGAATCAATGTATAGAGAAATGTTGAGAGAGAGGCGTAAGGCATATGGCTGCTGCTGCTGAGTCAGAATGTTAACTAGTTAAGTGTCCTTTCGACATTCGACTTTTTCCAGTAAGAATTTCTTCCATCTGCTTTCCAGCTTAGTCGAATTTGCATAAGAAATTACTTGGCGTGGGTGTGAACTTGACTAGTGGAATATTGCTTGAGAAACTCCATGTGGTTTGACATTTTTTTTCTTCTTCTTCTGGAGATAATAACATTATGTTGTGTGTAAGCTTGTGACCTTGGGGAATTCGTGTGGCTCAGCGGACGGTGGGAAACGAATTGGTCACGACGAGGTCCCAATCATATATAGTACTGTTACTGTTGTTCGGAAAGGGAGTTACGGGGAGAATGGAGTCAACTTCAATTGATGTGTTTAACGTTTTTTTTTATATACATATCTATATTTTGTAGAATGTAAAATAGGATGGTTCCATTGAAAAGTAGAAACTTTTGCGTTATTTGTGTCCATTGGATATAAACTTTTTGGAAATATAAATAACAAGATTTTATTTTTCGTACGTCCACCATTTCAATAAAATTTTAATCATGATGACGTTGAGACCAATGATTATCATCACACGGTATTAGTTCAAACTTATCCTTCCATGCATGTTTTCGTCAACAATATAAAATTCCTCCATGCATGTAGTGATTGAAACAAAAATAAGATAATTCAATATTTGATCATGTGTCGTTTATTTGTTTTCCAAGTCGTAAAATCAAAATGCATGCCACGCGTAAGTTAACTATAAAGGGAATTTGACAAAGATCTCTACATGCATGGAAGATTCGAGTTCGTTGGATGAACCGTGTTTGAAGGAATATTATCATTTTTTTTTTTGATAAGGGTGAGAATATATTAATTAAAGGGAAACGAGAACAAAATTCGGCCAGGAGTCACAAGAGGGTGACTCGGAGGGGCCAGAATCCCAGGGGGACCCAAAGACAAAAAATGAAAAGAAAACCAAAAACACAGAACAAGGAACAGCATAGTCCAAAGGAGCCAAAGCCGGCAGCCAGACCAGGAGCAAAAACCAAACAAAAGCAGGACCAAGGGGCCAAAGAAACAGAAAGAAACCACAGAATGGGACGCCAGACACAGCAGATCTCACGAGGGCAGCAGACAAATAGTTCCCGCCATTCACCAGAAAAGGAAGCAAACAGCGAATCAGCGGGTCAAGTTGTTCGAAAGCCAATCGGCGTCAAGTTGTTGAAGGAATATTATCATTAATCAAGGGTCCTTTGGATCAAGAATTTTGGTATGGGGTTTGCATTAGGCTGGGATTTAGTTATTTTACGAGAGTGGGAGACAGACACTTTATGAATGAATGAGAGCATAGTAGGAGTAATTGGATCTAAATAGTAGAATGATAGACTCCTTAATTTTTTTTAGATGAAAATCTGATTTTAGAAATGTCAAAATAGAAGAAACCCAAGTAGATATTGAATTATTGATGCAAATCATGATAGAGCGGGTCGAGAACAAGACAGGACGATGATGGTCAGATCGAAAGTAGTACCCATGTCCTGCACCTATATCTCCTACAATTCGAGTAATACTCGTCTCAAACATATCGGACAGGTCGAAACGCGCAGGTCAGATCACATTGCTAAATTGGTCACACTTTACCATTTGCCATGTAAATATCAAACTTATTTGAATTTTGAAAGGATAGAAACGGAAATCTACAAAGTGACCATTTTAGTTGTAATTTCTTAAAGTTATGGTACCATTTTGAAAAAACGCAAAACCTAGGTAATCGTTTTGTACGGATCAAAAAAATAAGTTAGATTTTGGATAATTACCCCTTTCCACTATGGCACCGTAGAGGAAATTTCCCTCGGTCGTTATACGGGCGGAAGAAGGGAAAAAAACGGTGGAGAACGCAGACTTGAAGCTAGAGAGAGAAAAGATGAAGGTTACTTGGAACAAGGAGAAGGTGAACAAGAAACGCCCTTTGGCAGCCATTTCCAAATCCCAAAATCTTCCTTTCGACAAAGATGACGACGAAGCCATCAGCCACAGCAACGACGACGCTGGCGGCCAGGACAAGCAACCGGGAGTCGCTGCTGGGGAGCCTTTGAATTCAGAATCCAATATTCAACTCAGCGAGTCGTTTCAAGCTCAGGGAGACAAGTTAGCCGAGGTAATTCTGATGGAACCGAAATGGGCACTTCAAATTTCTCAAGTTTTAGTTCTGTAATGAAAAGGGTCTTTCTTGCAAGAACACCATATTTGGAACTGGCGAGTCGATCATCCTTCAGTTCACTTAGAAAAGAACCCTAGGGCTTGTGTATCGTGAAGATAGATTGACAGTTAACTCTAATCAAGTAATGGATGCTACTGAGCCGTTGAGGCTACGAGTATATAATCAGCAAGCTGCAATTCTCATGTTTGAAAACTATATTGTACAAGCTTCTTCTCCTAGATTTTTAGGGAATAGTATAATTTTCATTCTAAGAACTTCAACTGTTGCTAAGAAGCTTTCTCCTAAATGGGTCTGGTATATGCCCAAATGGGTCTATGCAATTCTTGTTCAACTGATGATATGCCTTCAATTTGTTTTGAAGGAGGGAAAATACAGAGAAGCACTAGGGAAATGGGAGGCTGCAATCAATTTGATGCCTGAGAATGCAGTCCTGCATGAGCAGAAGGCACAAGTTTTACTTGAAGTTGGAGATGCTTGGAGCTCGCTCAAGGCAGCAACTCGTATGACCTTTGCTTTCCACTATCTCCTTTCAGGCTTATTTCGGGTTCGGTCATGTTAACGGAACAAGTTCTCCTCCCTTGCATGGTGTTACAGGAACCTACAGTGTTTATATAGCAGTTCTTTCCTGAACATTTACCCTTCAGAACCTTAATATAGTTGCTTGAATTGTTATTGGTAGGAGCCACCGAGTTGAGACCATCTTGGGCTGAGGTATGACAGTAATACACTACATCAATTTCTCTTGTATATATAGGTTACATATTAACTTATCTGGTGGGAAGTAGATCAAATAGATTTCTCAGAATGCATGTGAAGTTTAAACTAGATGGCCATCAGTGCTATCAGATCTCTTGTCATGTAGTGTTCCCTAAAAATCTGCATGTTGAGTGTTTTGGGTTTCTGCCAAAAAACTCTGGTGAACGCAATTTTTGTTTGACCTAGAACCCTTTGGGTGGAGATGCATATGATATATGCATTTGTAGCTAAATCCATGCAGTGCACAGAGTTTACATTTTGTTCGGTTCCGAAGGGTATTTCAAGTGAGGAAGTTAATACCGGGAAACTAAAGATGCCAAGCTGATGGTTTACAGTCTGTTTCCAGGCATGGGTAACCCTTGGCAGAGCACAGTTAAACTTTGGGGAACCTGATAGTGCAATTGACAGCTTTGACAGAGCACTAGCTATCAAGGTATAGCCATCTTGCTTGAGCTCTGTAAATATTTGTCGTGCTTGAACAGTCTATCCGCTTCTCATTTTATAAGGTTCCGTTCTTGGAACTCTTTTAAGTCTTAAGCATTAAAATCACGTTCTTGAGCAAAATAACAATTGCAGAAATGTCATTTTCAATAGCTTTAATTTGATTGCCCTTTGTACAGCCTGATTTTAAGGAAGCTGAAGTTGACAGACGTGCTGCATCACAGCTGGTGAGGAAACGACTGCAACTTCACTCTGCTACTTCGAGTGTTAGCACAAGCCGCTACGTTGTCCAGGACAAGACAGTTGACTCTGAGTCTGGAGAGGGAGTTCTCGAGCACTAGCTTAGTTTTTGGGTTTCACTTCGATCATACCTTCCTGTTTCGAAATGGTAACAGACTTTCTTAGAGGGCAGGAGCCAGCACACTGGAAGCCGATCATTGGAAGTAATGCGCTGTTGTTCTGAGATGTCTCTTACAAACTATTGTGCGCCATGTTCTCAATGTAAAGAAATTGCTCATCTTTGTTTAAAGTCTTCAGTCATGCTGCCTCACATAGGGCGGCTTTACTTACCAACTTTGTCCTACAATTGTACATGTTGAATGACGAACATGAAACAGCAAGTTTGAAGGATTAGCAATTGGCTGCATTTCGCCAGTAGAAATTGTTCACAAATTATTCTTATTTAGAAGCAGCATCAAGTAGAAAATTTTGATTGACCAATTAGCTTTCTGGAAACCCCACGTAAAGGTTAGAACTATCAAGTACATGACTTGGAGCGAGGGGGAACACAACCCTTCTTTCCTCGACAGAATCGTCTCATCGCCTCATACATACTCAACCTCAGTAATGGTAATTACATTTTCCGACCAACCTGTCAGTTCATCCAGCTGTTATACGAAGTCTCGAGAGCCATTACCTTGCCCTAATTTATGTATCAAAAAGTCAGGAAGAAAAGCTACAAGTTCTTTACAGACTTAAGATATCGAAGGAACCTTTCTTTCACTCATTTGTTGCTCATGCTTCAACCCCCTGTCTGCTCGCCTGCCAATTTGTCTTCAATAAAAACAGCATTCAGAAGCAAATTTATACCTTCCCTACCATCAACCATGTCTTCAATCTTCCTTTTCGACTTCCTATGCATCCCGTCGAAGCCCCTTTTCCCCTCTCTGTTCTCATACGCCTTCCTTTCCCTGCGCACTTTCTGAAGCTTCACCTCACACTGCCTACAAAACCATTTCCCTTTTGGTATAGAACTACGTGGCGGGCTCATGCAATAGATGTGGTAACCACTATCACAGGCATCACAAAGAACAATCTTATCATCATCTCTATCAGTTAAGCAACTCCGGCACAAACAAGAAGGGCAGTACCAACGTGGACCATATGAGTTCAGCTGATTAGCCGTCAAACACCTCACGTGATAATACTTATTAGGGCAAAAGGGATGTTCACAAATCTTCACCTTTCCACCACTCTCCACCTCACTCCCACAAATCTTACAAGGGTTTGAAGGTTCGGTAGCTTCTGAAATCTGATGTGCATCATCTTCTGATGCCTGGTCAAAGTCAGAGAATGCAACTTCATTTGTCTGGCAGGCAGTAGGGAGGGCATTTTGATTATCTAGAGCACTGGTAGGAGCACTTAGCCTCTCGCAGACAATGCAATTCTCATGAGAACCCATTCCATTAGCTAAGCAGCTGGAACAGTACCAACTCTTGGGAGGAATCTTTTCAACAGCAGGTTCAATGCAAGAGATGTGATACATATCCTCGCATGAATCACACACTAAACAATCCAATCCATCTGCTTTGCTCCCGCAGTGCCTGCACGCACACAGAGTGGTTGTTGCTGTTTCATCTGCTTTATCAAAGGAATCAAATTCTCGTGTGGGTAACTGCTTTGCCATGTAGAAAGAGAGAGAAAAAAGGATGGCATCAGAACCAACTATATCATAAGAAGAAGAAAAAGAAAGAAAATGCACGACTACTGTGCAAATTTGGAAGCAATATATGCCGTCCACTGAGCTAACCAACTATAAGGTCAGAAGTAATGCTTTGGATTAACATTAGGAATGCAATAAAAGAATGCTAGGATGCTCAGAAGTTCATGAGAAATGGCATCTTACTTTATCCTTAAAGCAAGTCTTCGATACATCCGAGAGGCTCTTCGCAAGGAAAATCAATTCACTTCCAATCCCTTCAAGTTTTTTCCAAAACTGAAATTTAATAGAGATTAATAATCACACGAATCTGAGTCAAAACTATAACCGAACATAGTGTAGCCTGAAAAATGACATAAAAGTATGCATGCAGCAAGGAAGTTCCCTCAATGTTCCCAGTAAAGCAGGTAAAAGGAAGACTGCTTATACTAGATAGTGAAGCTAAGAAAATAGTATCAGTAAATCGAGAGGGGAACTAAGAGCAGGTTCAATTTAGAGACTGAAGGAGTTCCCGAGCCAAATATTTTCAGAAAATGCCATCAGTCAACGACCCAAAAAAAGTGCCACCTGCAGTGGGGTTGCTGCAAAGTGGCAGATGATGGGATGAAGGGAAGAGACTGATCAGAGTAGACAAAGCATTTTTCTTCCAATTGTCAGTTATAGATCAATCTACAAAAATACATTGTTGGCTAGAACCAGCGTTTCCAGTAAACACGATCTTTGGTGTGGAACCAAAAGACAGAAAAGGATAGAAAGCAGTCTCCTATTGGGTTACATAGTAACATATAAACTAACAATTAGGTTAACACCTCCGTAAGAAGTTAAACTAGTAATACCTGTATGTAAGCATTTTCAATGCAGATATTATAGTAATGAATCCTGTAGCAAATTCATGGCCCTCAAAATTCAAATAAAGTAAATTGATTAGCTACTAGGGCAACAGAAAAAATAACTTGCAACAGACTTATCTTACAAACCTGTTGGATATCTTCAGAGAAAAGCCAGGGTGAATCCTCATAAGCTCCATCTTTCATCCTTCGGTTTATAAGACTTAGGCTGAAAAGGTTATCAGCCCTACTTTCATGGAAATTTTCAAACAACAATTTGCATAGGGAGGTGAATTTTTCAGATGATATAATCCCATGGAATGCAAGCCGACACATATCCGTTACAGTGCGGTGATTTGGTTCATCAGAAGCCTCATTGGATTTATGGCCATCACTTTGTTTAGCCAAATTGGGAGTTGACAACCATACTTTCTTTGACTTACACCTATCTCTGTCACAAGCATCAGAAACCTGAAAGAACAGAGAGTAAACGAAATTCAGAATGGAGAGGTGAAATCAATAGCAGATATTGCAAGCCACTATATTTTATGATTTTGGTGAAAACCTTCAAAGTCCTAAGTACATCTTGGATGCACCCTTGTATACCACCTTCATCATCACTTAACGACCTATACATTTGCTCTAGGATATAATTTCTCCACTGCCCTCGTGAAACATCACTTGAACTAGCTAAATCAGCTTGACCACCAGCAGGATGGTCCGGGGGTTCCTTCATAATCTACAAGCATTCAGTTTTAGCTAGTCAAACAACATAATGGTGGATTATGCAAAACAGGAAAGAAGTGAATACAACAAACAAGATGCAAATAAACAATCTTGCCTCCATATGCAGGAACAAAAAGTGAGAAACCAGTAAGTCCAGAATACTCTTTTTCTTTATTCGCTTTGCTTGAATTTATAGTTCTTTGTCATGGATATGCATATTAGACATAGAAACATTGCCAACTGAACCTACTGGCCATTAGACATAGAAGAAAAGCCAACTGAACCTACTGCCATTTACATGCAGAAATGCTTAACACATTTTTTGCGTCAATTGTAAACTGGCCAATGTAGCAACAGTTCTCTGCATCCTTATCCAGATTTTCAAAATTAAACCATATTGTTCACAACTATGGCCTTGTAAAGGAATTAAAGAAATAAATCAGAAGGCATCCAACATCTACATGGCATCATAAAAGAGCATCTATCAGGAAATCTGAACAGTTGCTATTGTGCTCAAGTCTCAATTCACTCACACAAACAAGTAAAGTCACTGATCAAGTTTGACAGAAACATGTGGGTGCCGGGCACAGTTAGATTACAGTGGTCTAAATACCAAAAGTTTTATCAAATATATACACCATCATTAGACTGGCAAACAGTTTGCAAATATAGAAGAAAACTGAGCATGCTGGACCTTCCAATATCGTAAAATTCATTGAAATCATTGTAGCATGGAGAACAGCACACTAGCACAAAAATCCAGGTAAAGGAAAGCATCATTTACTACAACTTCATTACTGTCCTCTCACTGATGGATTCAATCTAAGTCTTTTTATTCTTTTCTGTGACTGCATTTAAGTTGCAATCAGCTTCAATAAACTCTTTAAGAACGCATAGCATCTTAGCAAGTATACCATTATCATCCCTATTCTAAAAGTTGACTCCTTTTCTACAACATTCCGCCTTTAACAATAAATACTCAAGTCAGGTCACTTATGCATGATACTTACTTAACCTTGGCTGCCCTTAACCGAACACCAAAATCATCCAACACTAGACTGAAGATCCTAATGATCAAGAAGAAGAATGAAGTACTAAACAGTAGCCAATCTAATCATGAGTCGGGTAATCAGCACAGTAAGCTAAAGGAGAAAAGACCATAATTGTAGCCATACCTCCTGATCTGCCGATTTCCCAGCAGCTTCTCCAGAAACACTGACATCCCCTAGATCTTTGCTCTCTGAACTAGAAGCTGTAAGCTTTTTCCTCTTATAAGTGCGAAGCCCCTGGCCATTATTTCTCCCGGATCCATTAACCACTTCGCTCATCAAGCATTTCCCTCTACCATCCATATCCGACCCATTGCTCATTCCCTCTTCCCTAACCATCCCTTCAACACCAAAGAAAACCAAAAAGAAAGAAAATCAATGCACTTATAAGAGAAGCCAGACCCAAAAATCAAGCTTTTCAACACCCAGTTAGGTTTCACTGTAGAAAATTCAAGAAAACCCAGACAGAACACTGCAGCAGTGAACTCAAGAAAAGAACACAAATTGCCAATCTTCAATGAGGACAACCCAAAACCTTCCAAGCCCAGAAATTTCAGAAACGAATGACGAGAACACCAACACCCGCGAGACCAAACTTCGAATCTAACGCCTGGAACTTCCTTGGGCTTTGCTCTCAAAAGGAGATGGAATTCAAAGCCAAATTACTTGAACGAAGCTTTGAAGATTATCATTGCTCGAAATTGCATAGGATTCACATTCACTACTAATACGAGCACCACATCATCTTCATTCTTCGCCCTTCTCTATTAAACCGTTTTTCCTTTCCCTATCGCTACATTGTTCTCTCAGTACCCAAACAAGCCAGCGAAACAGAAAAAGCAAACAACTAAGAATCCACAGCACTGCCACGAAGTTGAGGGCAAGGAAAGAATCGTTACCTGAGACAGAAAGATGGATTCCTTGAGCGCCAAGAGAATTGAAGCCCTCGGAAATCTGCGGAAGAATGAAGAACGAGAGCCAGAATAGGTTTCTTTTTTCTGTTATTTTTTTGGCTTATGTCTCTAATGTGCTGCAGTAGTAAAGTTCTTATCCGTGTTATTTATTCTGTCCCTTGTTCATTATTTTAATTTTTCTGACTGAAATTTCGAAATTGGATCCATTGTGACCAATAATGTGCACTAAACTCATTCAATGCCACACGACTGTGTTTGTAATAAGGGATTTCGTCTAGTTTCATCCCAAGACACTGAAAATCTTGTGAATTTAGTTTGGGCAGAGAGTTGGAATTCTTAACGGATACACGAGTTCGTTAGATTCTCGAATAAAAATTGGAGATGACGTTTTAAGTAAGTTTATACGTATTACTTCGCCTTTTTTTTTTCATGTTTGACATCGACTATTACATCAACTAGTCATCCTGGATCGAGGAAGTCTTCTTGGAGCCGGAGCCAACTATTAAGGATTTAAGTACAATCCTTTGTTTGCTTGGTCCAAAAATGTTGAAACAAATCCGTGGGCCCCACAGATTTAGGTTTTTTTTTCACTCCAAATCCGTGGGGCCCACAGCTTTACAAATCCCACATGATTATTAGGGAATTGGTGATGGGCTGAAAAACCAAGAGGCCAAATGACACTCCTATCCTCATTCTTTTTTATTAAACCAAAATTGCCCTCTTCACATCCAACATATTTGCCGCTTCCTATTCCTTCTCACCAAACCGGGAAACCTGTCGAAGCTTCCCTTCCTGGAAAATTGCAACCGACATCAAACTCTGACTGCATCAAGCTCCGACGGCGTGACCTCCTTTTGCAGCCGACATCAAACGCAGGTGAGCAGGGACCCCGTGACCTCCTTTTGCTGAGTCCATCTTTGTCGCTTAGCTTTTGCAAATCAACTCCATCTTAGTTTCAAACGACCCCTTAAAACAGTTCATTAATCATGTCAATTTCATACTTAAAAGGAGTGGATAGTGGATATGCAGATGGTTAAGTTTTACCTGCATTCATGGATGCTCTTTTATCATTTATGAAAAGGATGGGTTCCAGTAGAGCAAGGCAGGTTATTATTGTTTTTCACCGGATGGAATGCCGCAGAGAGAATTTGCCCATTGAGTTTTTGGATATCAATTCTAAGGTTAGAATCAATACCGCATTGCATTATGTCCATCACAGCTTGAGGTTCGTGTCTGCCTGGCTGTTAACAAGGAAAGAAGGGGGAAACGCATAGCAATGGCAACCCCTTCCTTTAATGGGTTAAAAAAAGGGCAATAAGGTAAATGCAATTCTTTATTTCTAAATCCCAAATTATTAAATCCATGATCAAAATGAAGAAACAAACACAGGATTTTTCCAAATCCAAAATGCCCCAAATCCCAAATAAAACCTTAGGTTTTTAAATCCCACGTTTAAGTGAAAACCCTCATTTTACAATCCTTGAAGCAAACGACCCCTTATTCTGTCCCTTGTTCATTATTTTAATTTTTCTGACTGAAATTTCGAAATTGGATCCATTGTGACCAATAATGTGCACTAAACTCATTCAATGCCACTCGACTGTGTTTGTAATAAGGGATTTCGTCTAGTTTCATCCCAAGACACTGAAAATCTTGTGAATTTAGTTTGGGCAGAGAGTTGGAATTCTTAACGGATACACGAGTTCGTTAGATTCTCGAATAAAAATTGGAGATGACGTTTTAAGTAAGTTTATACGTATTACTTCGCCTTTTTTCTTTCATGTTTGACATCGACTATTACATCAACTAGTCATCCTGGATCGAGGAAGTCTTCTTGGAGCCGGAGCCATTTAAAGGGAAGTTCATTCTCTTTTACGGTCCTTCGTGCCAGTTTCGTGTCTTTTCACTCCTTGGTATCCAACAGCTCTAAGAGACATGAGTATAAGCTAAAAAAACGCTTATAAGCACAATGACGACTCCTATAAACATATAGTAATGGTACGCATTTGAGTGGGTTAGGATTCACGTGAATGCTAACCGAGAATTGCAAGTTTGGTCAATCATGTTACATGTTTGCCACTCGAATCATTTCCCCTTCAATTTAGCTATCGACACTACACATTTATGTCATCTGTGGTCACTCGCCGCCTAGTTCCATTAAAAACAATTCCAATATGATGTGGCAAAGTAAGAATAATTATTTTTAATTGACATATAAGCTATTTAACGGTCAAACATAACGGTTGACCACCACGTAGGACATATTTAACAAAACTAGACAGAGAGTGATTACGGATGACATAAGTGTGTAATTTTGATGACGAAATTATCTGGAAAAGTTTTCGAATGGCAAACGATGAAACAAACGTGTGATATGAGTGATCAAACTTGCAATTCGTAATCTTTTGGTTTTGGGGAATGTCGATGGCCTCAAAAAACCAAAACCAAAGGTTAATGGAGCTTTGTGACTATTAACCATAGTGTGTATATTTTATCTACCGTCCCTCCGTGTGAGGATTTATATAGTGGTCATTTTCGAGGGAAGAATCAGAAACATAATAGGACACCAAACTACGCGAAAAAAAATTATCAGACGGGGAAAAAGAACAGTAACAACCTTCCCCGATGAACGCTCACCGGCGGCAGACTGTCGAGTCGGACACCGATTCCGACTCGGAGACGATGCGATGTCTCTCCTGCAAGGAAGAGTACGACTCGGTCGACGCCGGGACCTGCAAGGAGTGCTACGACGAGGCAACCGAGACCGAGCAAGAGCTCAAGAAAGAGATCGACGATCTCAAGGCTAAGATCGCCTTCTTGAAATTCTGCTCCCCTGTCGGCCAGAACCACTTCGACGGCAAATTCTCCGACGTCGTCTTGGTCGCCTCCGACGACCAAGGCGCCGATGGCTTGTCTCCCTTGACCGTCCCGGCTCACAAGGCCGTTCTGGTATGTGACATCCTGCGTCCCCATTTCTCTCTTTTGAAGTCTTAATTGAAAGAGAGAGACTCTTGTCAATGGGAGCGTTGATTGCTAGTCTGATGCACTTTGGCTTTTTAGCCATTTCCTTTACTTTAGGGCACCTTTTAGATGGGAATACCCCACTCTTGTTGGAAAATGGGGGAGCTAATTAGCTTGACATTGCATAGAAATGAGGTGGTAAGCTCTCCCATGAAACAGCAAGTGTATCGTAAGCATGATGTTAGAGTTGGAAGAAGGGTTTTAGGTGTTTTGGTTGAATGGAATGTGTTGTTTCCTGGAAGGTCTGGTTGAGTGGTTGTTCTTGCGTGGTTTAGACATGGGCAGAGCTTGGATTCTGTACTCCTGCTGTATATTGAAAGATGGTGTGCAATATTCATAAAAAAAAAAAGGTGGTGTGCAATAAGCTTGTGTCAAATGCTAGTCGTTAGTTTCCTGAAATCTGAACTTGTCATGTGTAACCATCCTCTTAGATTTTTTGTTTGTTGTTTTGTGTTAGTCGTTTCAGTTTGTCGAACGTAAGATGACATGTCCAGATCAATGTTACACCACTTTGAATGCCTTTTTCGAGAGATAGTATATGAATCGTTTGTAGGAAAATTGAAACTAGTTACCTTGAAAATGCTTAATCATGATTTTGGAGTCGGAAAATTGCTTGAATTCTTGGTTGGGCTTGGAAACTTGCTTTAAATCCCAACTGATCAATCACGTCTCAGCAACAACTACTTGTCAATCCCCTGGAAAAGGAAAAGAAGAAACAAGTTGAATGAATGTGTTTTTTTCTTGAAGGTCTGGTTGTGCTAGTGTCATAGGTATGGGTAGGGTCTTTCATTCTCTCGTAATAACTTGTCTATTGAAAGAGGGTATTGACTAAACTTCTTAAATTCTGTCTTTCTGTCTTCTGTGATCTGTATTATTCCCTTGCGTAAACATCCTTTTCCCAGTTTTCAGGAGTTCCTTCCACTTTCAGAACAAATTTTTGAATGCAAAAGGGTACTTCTGGATTGATTTTCACATTCAATGCAGTTCTACTTAGGTACCATATACAAAGATGTTAAGATACAGTGTGAAGCTGTGAGAAGTTATTGATGATTTTGATGCTGTGAATTACTGCTCTGACTTGTCAGTCCTTTTTGTGTCGAACTATGGTCTGTGTATTTCTATTCTTCGTGGAAGCTTTCTTAAATGATTTTATTGAGTATTCAACCTGGTTTTTTAAAGATATGAAGCAGCTAGGGCAGATTGTTGTCTTCATTTGGATTAAATGGAGTGGATAGGATTGGTGGATTGGATACAAAATTGTCACCTCTAGCACTACTTAGCATATTTGGTGTAGTCTAACCCAGGCATAACATGAAATGTTGAATTGGGAAAAAGTCAGTGTTGGAGGCTTTAGTTATGTGAAAATTGCTGCCCCTGTAATTTTTATTAGTTCTAACACTCTCTTTAACCCGATCAGGCAAGCCGCTCCCCAGTATTCAGAGCAATGCTCGAGAACCAAATGGAAGAGAGCATCAGTGGAACCATAAAAATCCCTGACGTATCATACGATGCACTCAGAACCTTTGTCAACTACATGTACACAGCTGAAGCACGCCTCGATGAACAGATGGCCTGCGACCTTTTGGTGCTGGCGGAGAAGTATCAGGTCAAGTATCTCAAAGGTTACTGCGAGACCTTTCTGGTGTCCAGATTGAACTGGGACAGCTCGTTGATGAGCTACGCCTTCGCTCACCAGCACAATGCAAAGCAGGTGCTCCAAGCTTCGTTGTCTCTTATCACGGAGAACATGGACAAGCTCACTACACGGGAGGAGTATCTGGAGCTGGTGGAGAAAGATCCGAGGCTTGTGGTGGAGATATACGAAGCATATCTTGGGAAGCAGGTGAATACAGCTGCAGCTCGTGGGGATTGCTCCAAGCAGAAGAAGCTGTAGCAGCCTAGCGGGCATAAGGGTTTTTTTCATCCTTTTCTCTTTTCGGTCTAGTTTAGATTGTGAATGTGGGTAGTGATTAGTCGATGATTGTTCTTTGTCCAGTCTTTCGTTGTTCGATATTTTCGCAGGATGGTTCTCTTAAGAGGACGCATATAAGAACCTGGTTTTACTTGTCGCCCTATGGATGGAGATTTTATATTAAATCTAAATCGCGGGTGAATTCAGAATCATTAGATCTTACTCTAGACAATACCCAAAATTGAGTGAAATTGTGATTTTAACAACATTGGACTAACTAGCTTTGAGACTACTTGCATAAATTTCCAGCAGAGCAAACAAATGTTGCTGCAGATGTAGAAGCCAACTACCACGGGTTCTGCTCTGGTAAATCTGCAGTTCTCTATACTCTCAGTTGGGAGTTGCCAGTTTTAGGCTGCTTTTGTTTGCGGCCTTTCTTGTTCTTCCCATGCCCTCTTCCCTTTCGAGGTCTTTTGATAAACTCTTTATCTATACAACCAATGCAAAAAGAGAGGAAAAAAGAGCCAAACTTAGCCTCTTAGTAGCAACATTACTTTCCTCTTGGTACTGAAATGATCAACTGCAAGTGTACTCTATAGCCGGTTGGTTAGTTTATCCAGAGGCTAGTATTATGTGAAACAAGTTACAATGATGACTGATCATAAAGACAACTGCACAATTAGTTGTGGGAACCTCTTGAGAAGAGAAGGATAAAGAGTACAGGGGCGAGGTCAGGGCATACGTTTCTCGCACACCAAGAACCTCCAGCTGGCGTGAGGCCCTTCGCCAGTGTCGTGAACCATAACCACCCATCCCATCGCGGATGCTACTTCGTGGATTTCACCTATAACTGCTAAGGAGTCGCGAATGTACACAGTTCCACCGTGTCGTAGCATCCTATCCATCTCCAGCAAGATCGTCGAGAAGTTGCACTTTCCCCTGCAGCATAGGTCAAGGCAAGAAAGGAAATTTTGTGTAAGGATGTTCATATGTGATCCAGAGCTGTAAGGACAGGAATGATGATAATAATAACATTTTCTGACCTTTTCCGCTCATCGGAGAATAGACCTGCTGCATGGATGAGGTCATACGATCTGGGGTAAGTGTCAAATGGCTCACACCTGGGTTGAAGACAATGGGATCAATAGTCATAATTTTGAAAGGCTCAGAAGGCTGAACTTAATAAAGGAAAAATATTTCGAGATTGGACAAACACTACATCTTTTATATATTTCCAACTTCTTTTTACCTGTTGTGATCACATTATCCATTTAGCAAAGTTCTACTAGTCTCAATCATTTGTTAGGTCGATTCAAACACAAAAACCAAGAGGTGGAAAAATGGGCGTACCAGTCGTGCATTACACCAAGGAGTCCACGGTCATATATAACGGGCAATGTATTGAAGCCATTAACGGGAACAACATTCATAACCCAGGAAGTTAGTTCCAAGTCATTCACGGCTGCTGCAAAGCTGCAAGCGGAACATGTCTTGAGATTAGAGAGGAATAATCTAATATGTTTCGAAGTGTTCTTATTTCAACGATAGGAGAGAAGAAAAGTACTGTACCCTCCGAATCCAGCCCTCATGTCTAGCACATTCCGGAAGTTCTGCTCTTTCCAATGGAAAGCTCTAACGTAACTGTCTATTATCTCGTTCCAGTATCTCGATTCTGCTTTCATCAGCTCCTTCCTCGATATCATTGCATCCATTTTAATACTCTGGAGCCTATCCGGAGGAGAGTGAAGTCGTGCTGGCCACACAGAAACATTTCCTCCATTCCTGACCTCAGGCAACAGAGTTATGCATGCTGTCACATTGACATACCTGCAAAAATACACACCACAACGTTTAGTTTGAGGCGTTATTATTGTCAACTGAGGTAGTGATCTCAGTAAAACAAAGTCAACTCCCAGCCATACCAGACATTGTCTGGATCCTCATCAGAATTACACAGTGGTGGTTGTGCTCCAATCTCTCGGCCAAGATAGCAGCTGCTGTTCAATGGCTTGCGCCATATCGCGATATTGCCTTCCTTCTTCACAAGTTGCCAACAGATGCTCGCAGCAAGACCCTCCATTTCTGAACCATTATGGATAATAAGCAATCAGACTGTCGAGAAATGTTTGTTTCAATGCTAATCTTTGTGACAAACTGATAATAGAATAAACTTGCAGTTGCAGAGGTTCACAGTTTTACTAACTCACCGTTCCATTGGTCATCTAAACTTAGTTCATGGTTACTATCAACTTGTGGCCCTCCCCACACGAAGTAACGCCCTGCCCTCAGCAACCTGTTCACCTCCAGAAGCAAAACTCCGTCTTCATTACATCCAAAGGAAACACGAGATCACCAAACATTTATACGAACTGTCAAACTAAAGTCAATAATCAACTATACTGAGAGGGGAAACTTACTGTCAACAGTCCAGTCGATTCCAGATCCTGAGCTACGTATCAAGTCGAAAGCTTGGCTTGCATAGGGCAACCTACGAGTACCAAACCCCACTACCATGGCAGGAAGGCCTCGCTCCAATGCAAACTGAATCTGATTCTTATGAACATCTTTTGTCCCAATCAACAGTGTGGTCACGTTGTGCCTAAACAAAGATGCTGCAAAGCTTCCAATCCCTGGACTAATGTCTAATGCAACGCGTGTATGATGGCCGAAATCAATGTCAGGAACCATCTGAAGATTATCCAAATTCAGTTCACCAATCACTCAATCAATCAATCAAATGTTCCATTGTGTTTTGAACTAGGAAAACTACCTGTGAGATCAAGTTCACATATTGATCACTTCCACCGTCCTGAAAACTGATCTTAGCATCTTTCACCAACATCGAATACTGGCCGCCTTGATCTTGAACCAAGCGTGTATCAGGCACATTATGAAGCCACACCTGTTGAAAATTGAAATTAAACAAAACCATGGCAAACTCAATCAAAACCCTGATTGGCTTAAAATTGGAAACCCTGAAATCAAAAAACTTTAGCTCCAAATCTTTTACCTCGTCCCGGCTCCTGGGCCAGGGGAGCGATTTCTGGTAGCCATTTGGCATGGGGACGACGCAATCAAGAGCTGAATCGGGGCAATGTCTTTCGGATTTGTCCAAACATGGAATGTGATCGATTTTGCTTCCGTCGCACGCTTTGAACTTGTCGTACTTGACAATTTTGGGCTCGTTCTCCTTCTTCTCCGTTTCTTCTCCTCCTCCCCTGAGATTCCTGAGCTCCTCCATCAAGCTGGGATCGAACTCGCCGATCTCGAAGTCTTCGGTCATGGCCCCGTTCTCGTCCACTATCCCCGTCCTCCGCGCCACGGACGGAGGCGGCGGGGGAAGTTTCTTCACTTTGAGTATAGTCGAGGAGGTGTTGACTGCGGTGGAGGTGGAGTTGAGCGCGGTGGAAGTTGAGTTTTTGGCGGCGACGGCGGTGGGGGAGGAGAGGGAGGTGAAGGCGGAGAAGGCGGCGGAGGGGAAGGAAGGGTGGTGGTAGAAGAGGAGGGCGACGGAGAGGGAGAGGAGGGCGACGGCGGCGAATTTGACGATGTAGGGGGTTTTGACTAAGGCGGTGCCGACGGCGGCCGTGGGGCTGGTGGATTTCATGGCGGCGACGGCGGTGGGAAAGGGGTGAAGGAAGGTGAATAATTGAGACTGTTGCAAATGGCGCGGCGAGATTGGGGAAGAAGACGGAAACAGAAAGGGGAACGAAGGAGTAGGAGTGAAGGGAGTGTCCGACGTGGAATGCGGGAGGGAAGGTGGGGCCTACCGTCTTTCAGTTTCGGGATTCTGATCTTCTTCTTCTGCTTATATTCTGCTGCCTAGTGGGCCCCGCGATTCCTTCCTCCGCTGAAATCGATGCGGAGCCCACCAGGCCCCAGCTAATGACGATACTGTACTTTTCGGTTTTGGTGCTTTTTTTTGGATCCGAGGTTAATTACCAATATGGTCATCAAACTCATTTCAACATGACATATCGGTCATTGCACTTAAACACTAGTCGACTAAAGTAGCAATTCCTATCGTACCGATCGATCCGATTAGAAATACTAGTATAAATTTCGAAGGAAGTTTTGGCGATAGGATATGATTACTGCACTATGATTAAATCGTGATTTTATTACAAAATATCTTATTATTGATTTTTCTGGTATAACTTCCCGTCCTATTACACAATGCTTGGAATGGCTAGTGCAATATTTAGTAATTGAATACCTAAGAGGAGTTTGCATAAGGAGAAAGACTACTGCTTTTTTGTGGAATAAGTGAAGAACGTTCACAGAGGATTTTTTTTCCCCCCTTTTTCATGAATGCAATGGAACTAGTTCAGTTTTATTCAGAATATAGAGATTTCTTTTGGAAGAGGAGGATTGTTATTCAGAGATGAATTGGGATCAAAATATCCAGATTTTGTTCAAAATTTGGGAGGAAAGAAAGAGGCTGTGGTGATCTGATCAATCAAGCAACCCAATTCTCTTCTTCTTGGGAGCTCTCTATATATTGGGGTGGTTGGTTTTATTTTTTTGACTGTCTTGTTTTTTTTTTTTTTTTACTGTGGGTGGTTGGTTTTATGAATGATAACGGGTGGACTCATGGTATAATTTGACTCAATTTTTACATCGACAATGGGTTGGATCAAAATAGATTTATAATTTTATATACATTTTTTAATGTTATACAATAGGATCTCTTCATCGGTCCAACAGACACAAGTCATTTAATGTTCTTTTCCTTGATGAATATATATACAATTATTCTGCTTCGTAAAAGACAACAACATTGTACAATCTAGAATTCCATCCATCTTCCAATTAAATAGAGAAGAATTTTACGGTGATTTAAAACAATGCTACTGGAACTGTACGGTTATAAACAGGGTGCTACGGATCGAGAAATCACCGGAATCGACAAAGTAAGAATACGAAAGCGAGAATCGAAAAACACAGACACACGATTTACGTGGTTCTATAACACGATGTGTGTTAGCTAGTCCACGGGCGAGAGAGAGCCAGTTTCACTATATCGAGGAGATTACAGAGGAGTATGAGAAGTATTTATAGTACTTCTCCATGTGGGTCTAAACCTAATCCAATCTGGCAAAGGAAACGGTTACAGACCAGGCCCAGAACCCGAACCCAAATAACATTGAGCCCATACACCGTGGGCCGGGGGCAACGCACCCCCACCGGGGCGTTGCCCCTGGACCTCACTCGCTGACCGGGCAGCGAGACCCCCGATTACCAGTCGTAGCGGCTGATAGTCCGATTCAAGTCACATTAACATGTACTTTTTAAGGTTGTGGTACAAATTTGTATCCATTTACATTTATCTTATGGTACAAACTGGACTTGTATCATAACATAAATGTACAATTCTCTTAAAGTACAAACTGAACTTGTACTCTTAACGTTACGTCACAAATTCAACTTATAGTTTGAACCACCAATTCTGTAAAGTATAGTAGAAAGACTAACTAGAATAGAACCTATAATATAAAATACTATAAATTAAATGCATCCACAATTGATACAATGTGCTCTAGAATTGCAATTTTTATTAGCAAAGAAATTAACTTTGACAATCATGGCCAGAAATTAATTAGAAGATTACATCACCATGGTCCTGAACTCATCGAAATCAAGCAACCCATCAAAATTCTTATCGAACTTACAAATCATGGCCGCCGGATCCCTGCCGCTCTTCTCATCCCACAGCCCCAGCCTCTTCAACACGTCCTCCAGCTCCTCACATGAAATAAACCCATCTCCATCCACATCAAACACCTCGAACGCCCTCTTCACACAATCTTCTTCTCCTCCTCCTCCTTCAAGAGTGTTGTTCGGGCCGTTTCCACCATCGACGTCGTTTTGGATCTCGATGGAGTTGTAGAGCAGAACGAACTCGTCCACGTTGAGGCTGGACTTCCCGATCAGGGAAGCCAGCTCGTCTTTCGTGATGGACACTGCGCCGCTCTCGAACAGCTGGCACCGGAGCGCCTCCAGGCTGACCTGGCCGTCACGGTCGTGGTCCAGGCCGCGGAACATGTCGTGCAATTCGTTGCATGTGAGAGGAGACATATGGAGGTCAAATGTGGTGTTGCGACGGCCACGTTGGCAAGCGGTGGACTGATTTTAGAAAGAAGAATTGAAGTATGGGAGAGAGTTCAGGCTCTCTTTTTTTTTTTTTTTCTTTCCTTTTTTCTTTTCCTCTTAAGCTTCCTGTCTGGTTTTCTGTTTGGGTGTGTTTAGTACTCTTTGATGTGAATTTATATATAGAGAAGGGTTGAAGGAAGTAAGTCCAGCAAATGGCACATATGGTGAATCGATTAGAGAGGGAGAAAAAGGTTAATTTTGTTTTCTGTTTGACGTAATTCTGCCAATCATTTTGTTTTGATACGTAGAATCATCATTTGTTTTCTTCGTGGAAAGATGATCTGACATTATTATGACGGTACGGATGATTCTATGTGATTAGAATCTTGTTTCTTATTTTATACTAAATTCAATTCAACAAAGCTCTTCGTTGTTTCATTTCTCGAATCTACTCGTTTTAAGTTTGAATCTTATATGAGAGAGTGGCTAGTGCTGGAAAATGGTACGGTTATGGTCGAGAGATGAATCATATATACGATCTTGGTTTAACGAGAGGATCATGTATAGATCAGAGATCATATATACCACATATTATACGATATAGACCAGATCACGCATGTATAGTCTTGTCCGGTACGATCACGTTGAACAAAAAATGAACAATTTGTTTAGTGAACCACACTAAATTTTGAACAAATAACGGAGAAAAAAATATATTTTGTTTCATCAAAACATGAATTCAAACGCGCATAAATAATTTTTACACCATAAATCTTGGTAAATAACAAAGGTACAAAGTCAAAATGTCATAACTTGTACCATAACGTCATAAACATTAACATAATGTCATATAGAGACACGATCGTCTTATCTATGCTCCAGTGAAAGGTGGTTGTGAATGAAGGAGAAGGCGAGATTCTCAAAATTAGAGTTGAGACTTGGGTCTCGTTGTGGGAGGTGGGAGAGTGGTTGAGTGGGCTGCTAATACGTATTGAGAAGTTGGTTGGATCCACGGTTTGGTCCGGTAAACCATAATTTAGACCAGACCATACTAATTACCAAGAGATCAAAACAACATATAATACAGACCATGGACTAGACCAGACAATTTTTAACGGTCTATGGACCAAATTGCCATGGGTTGTTTTTTTGAAAGACCAACTTTGATTTTGGTCAAAATGTTTATGCCTTGAAAACTTATAAAGAAAGATGGATAATGATGTTGATTTTGGTACCTAAAATTTTTTATCATAACATATTGATCCAATCTTTTCAATATTTACATATTGATCCAAAACTTGGATGTTATTTGGACTAATGAATCAATCCACCAATTCATTTGATCCATTTGATCCATGATACACCAATCCAATCCACTAATTTATCGATTCAATCAAATTGCCACCTATACATCACCCTGACGTGGAGCAGCTGTGAGTAAATCATCATGGGCCGAGGCCCTGTCCAATAAAGGTCTTCAATTGTCTGTACATAACAACTCTGTTACGTGGTTAAATTCCATCCTGACAAAACTCTAGGCTTATTCAACATGGAAACGCTTTGAAACACATGACGACCAGTCAGCTGAGATTTAATGAGAGCAGAACATCAAAGTACGACAAATGTACGTATTTGTGAAGACTAATTAAATCTGAATGGAGCTGGTTGTGATTCTCAATTAATATCAATCGAGGAAGAAGAAGATCAACCTCTGCAGAAGTGAAGTGCAGAACAAGAGCTGAAACGCAGAAATGAAGAAGAAGAAGAACCCACCCAGAAACGAAACGTTTCTGGGTTCCCTCCACCCAACTTAAACGAAGAGCCAAAGCGACGTCGTTGTGGAGTCTCGGAGTTAACCGTTGGGTGGACTTTCACCGAGCGAATGGATGGCTGCCATCTGTCGGTTTACTATTACTGTAACTTTAAATTTCTGTTTATCATTTCCGTTTTTACTGTTTCAGCATTTGTATCTTGAAGAACAATTTTCCAGTTTAGTATAAATAGAAAAGCAGAGAGATCCCTTGCTCTCTTGCGCATTTCCCACTTTGTGTGCCGTCGTCTTCTTCCGCAAAACCCTAGCTGTAGCTAGTTTGTTAATTAACAACCATTAATTTGGAGATGAAGGTAATAATGGCCAATGCCTTGCCACGACATGGAAAACTGGAAGTCCAAATGGAAATAAGGAGGGAATTTTGACAAACAAAAAAGTTGGTATAAATTTATGTAAGTTTCCTCTTACGTTCGTTTTCCCCATATGGAGGAATAGTACGAAGTAAAAGTAATTATTCAATTCATCGGGTCATTATTGGTATATTCAAACTACTACTCCTCCTCTTAATCAGGAATTGACTCTCCTCAGCTCGAACTCAATTTGGGCTGGTTGTTGGCTGGAATAATATAGAGATCATTTTGGTTCAATTTTGTTATTTAACGGTTCATGTAATGTTTTACTCATTATTGGTATATTAATAGTTTGTTGTAGTTTCATGTGATATATAGTAGGCGTGTGTTCGAATCTCCACGATCCCCAATATAACACTTAAGTAAAGCACAAGGTATGATGAATCTGTGCAAACTTCAAGCCCGTAGGTTGGCTTTCGTTTGAGGGGGCGTGTTAGAGAGTGCTATACGATCAAGCCCGTAAACACTAACCTCACACTCCCAAGCCCTCATACTATGTATACCCATCATTCCTTCCCCTCGAAATCAATCTTGTCCCCAAGGTTGACAGTCGTCGCCCTCCTCCTCGAACGAACACATGACCTTTGACCGTCCTGCACTTGTGACCGATGGTGAACCGCGCTCATCACAATTAAAGCACAGCCCATGCACGCGCGACGGAGCTGTTGTTCCTCCCAGCTGAGCAGCAATTTCCCTGACCCTGGTCTACGCGTCGGGTTCGAGTCGCCCGTTGACGCCGAGTTTGCAGCGTCACGTCTGAGTAAATGGTGCACATGATCTCTCGATCGAGTTCTCCTCCCTGTGTCTCGGCCAGGGTTTTTGGACAAAAAGGGAAATTATAATACATCCCCCACTTACCACGTTATAACTTTAATTAATTAAATTGAAAATCTGATCAGTAAACAAATACGTCTTCTGACATGTTTGTTAATCCATTTGCATTTTGCAGAATGTTTATTAGCACTACAGCTGCAGGTCAATATTAAACCACATACACGTTTATTACTTAAATATGGACGTTGGATTGAATTAATTATTAGTTGAGTAAATACAGAGCTTTCAAAATTTTCAAATTATAAGTAAAACCGTTGAAATATGAAGTATTTGTCGAATCCTTTGATACGTATCAAAATAGTAGCAAGATGTATGTTACCGTTAATAATTTGTTATTTTTTTATTAATTAAAATACTAAAATTTTGAAATGTTGACCGTACTTGTCATTTTCAACGTAACTCAGTATCATATTATTGTCAAATCAGCATTATTAACAAAATTGCTAACATGGAGGTGACATTTGACTAATACTTTATATTTCAAAAAATTTAGGTAATAATTTGATAAGTTCAAAAAATTTAGACAGTTGGTTAATACATTATATGTACTCTTATTCATTTGTAATGTGTATCAAATATAGCTTAGCTTAGCTAACTTGTGCCGCACGATTTCTGTGGAAATGACTTGTTCACTTATCCAAGGCAAATATAGCTATTAGCTAGGGATCCTGATCTGAAAAAACAACCTGTGGGGTCGTGGCCGTAGACTTCCACTTGTTGCATTTATTCTAGAAGGTATGAGAAGTTTCTAGGTGCATCTTTCCAACCCCATTTTTCCTACAAAATGACCAAGAAAGAATCTGAAGATTGGAATACGTGACTCACGAAAAAGTATTAAAGTTTATATCTTTGTTTGGTTAGACTCTGGAGGACTCGGTTCGAACTGGATTTATTGCCGCCAACAGAATGAAGGAGAAATTAGTTCATTTCTATCTTGTATGTGTCGGTCTCTGCAAATTAAACTGTGGGACTTCAAGGCTGAATTAGTATGTGTTTAGTGATTACAGGAAAAAATTTAATTTTGTACCACATCGATTAATTACAGGAAATTAAATGAATTTATGAGACCAACTGAATTATAACAATTAAAATGAGTCAGATAGATTGAGTTTTGAGCCCATGAGTGCCAATACTATCATGTATGCGCCACCCGAAGATCTACTCCACCTCATGGTATGATCCGGGGGCACATGGTGTGGTCGAGGGGGTCATCAACCTAGCACCCCCAGTATGCAATACTAAGAGGTAACATAGTTAAAGGGAATCGATGACCGAATTTGGCCAAAACAAGAAGACACCCTTGTGTGATCAAGGGGGTCATCAACATACCCCATGGTGCCACACTAGGGGGTAATTGTGGGGTAAAGAAGATAGAGGTACCCATGGTGTGGTCATGATAAACATGCACCCCCATGGTATGGCGGCACAATATACCCCTTAGTGGATGAAATATTGTCAAAATTCGGCAAAGTATGCCCGCTTACATAGTGGTGAATTATTTTTGCTATTTTTATCCTGTGTGATACAAACACCCACCCACATGTGGCAACGGGATCTTCATGCATTCGTCTTGTTTCTCAACTAACAAGCAAAGCTAATGAGGAGCTATCAAGAGGAGGGAGCCAAGACCGAAGAGGGGGACTACAATCAATGTCGGGGCATAATCTGAGCATTTGAGAGGACAACCGTCACTTCACGTCAGCGGAGCAGTTCCCGGAGACAGTTATTTCTTGTGGCTATAAATAGGGGGTGAAGATGACAATAAAGGGGTTCACAAAAATCACAACTCTACATAACTTGTCCAGTTTTATATTTTTTTTGTTTTCCTCTGCAATTTTTAGCCATAGTCGTAGTTCTGGAGCTCTCACTGAACCTCCACAAAAGCATGGCTAATTTAATGTAGATATGTCTTGTAGTTCGTCAAAACATTGAATACCCTTATTTGAACTTTGTTCAAAAAGGTGTAGAAATGTGTTTGTTAATCGTTTTGGTAGGGAATCAAGATGCATTCAATTCTATTCCATCTAGTTTTTCTCACCGGGAAAACAATAGGTTTTGTTTTGTCCCCATGTTTATAGGTCTATGGTAGTGCCGCGCTCAAAGCACTCATCTCTGTGATCGATCAGTTAGTGATGCTGATTTGTTTGGATATAATTTCAGTTTTCAACACGTAAATAATCGACTAAAATAAAAATCTAATCGATAACTTGCAATAGGTACACTAATTTTAAAAATAAAAAACGATAATCCATGAACACTGCAATTTTTCTCATATCTCCCATCTGGAATATCAATAATTCAGTTGGTCAAAAGAATAATGGAATTCAATTACTTACTCTCACTGCCTAGAATCCGGTAGATAGATCACCGATGAACTAATAACGCCCCCCCCCCCCCCCCCCCCCCCCTCCCAACTTCCAAATTTCATTAATTTCCCAATCGATCTTTAATTAATAACAATAATAATGCCTACACATTCAATTATCTACACCTAACATACAATTAAAATTGATAAACCAAAAAAACAAAACAAAAACAAAAACAATTACAAACCGGATCTCCTGTCATGCAACCCACGATGCAACCGCTCTCAACTCAATCTCCACCGTCCGATTCATCAAAAAAAATCCGGCAAAAAATTCCATTCTTCTGCCCTTCTCTCTAGGCGGATGCTGAGGACGGCGTCGTTTGGAGCATCATGTTCTTGAACTCTTCAAGGTCAAGCGCGCCGTCGAGATTGGAATCGTAGGGCGAAATCATCCGGCGGCAGTCCTTCCCCGTTGTCTCGTCCCACAGCCCCAACCTCGACAGCACCTTCTGCAGCTCCTCGCTCGTTATCAATCCGTCGCCGTTTAGGTCGAACACTCGAAACGCCTCTTCCAGATCCCTCTCCACCGCCGCCGCCGATTCGCCGCCGCCGCCCTCGATCGAGCGGCAGAAGGCGAGGAACTCGTCGAAATCGAGGGCGGATTTCCCGACGGAGGACTCCAGCTCGTCGCTGGTGAAGTGCTGGAGGGGTCCGATTCGGTCGAGGAGCCAGCCGAGCTCGTCGATGCTGAGGAGGCCGTCGCCGTTGCGGTCGAGCCGGTGGAAGATCCGCCGCAGGTCGGCGGCGTGGAGCCCCGGGGTCATGAAGGGATTGGTAGGAAGATTAGGGTGTAATGACGAGGAAAGTGTGGAGGGAGAAGAAGAAGAAGAAGGAGAAGGGGAAGAAAAGAGCATGATTTCGGCCTGTTTTGACGGAATTGCGGAGAGGTTGGGGGCGTTGATTGTTCTCGAAAAGATTGATTTCTTTCAGATTTATATATATAGAGAGAGATTGGGAGAAGAAGTAGTACGTTGGTGCCGTACTAAAAGACAGGGTTTTAATTTTCCGGGGGCCGGTGGCGCTCGCAGGAAATTTCCTATACCAGGAAAATACAACTAAAGATCGTGGTTAATAATGAAATGGGCACTAAATTGTGATTAACTAAAATATAAGTTGGTTGCCCAAATTTTTGAGTATTTTCATTTTTAATTTATTCGAGTTGAAATATATAATTCAAATAAATGGTAAATGTGATATTTACAAATACGTGGGATCCATGGATTTGGAGTTAAAAAAATTGTTTTTGCGTACCTTAACAAACAATAACTTTGGACAAAAAACATGATGGTTTGTATTTGGAGACCAAATACAACATTCAAATCCCATTAGCAAACAATACCTTAATGAGTTTGGATTGAGGAACACATTATTTTTTTTCCCCCAACATCATACTATAAGTTAATTTGGGTCGAACAATTTACCGACATGATTTGGAAAGAGTTTTATAAGCTAAAGTTTACTGACCGATAAACGATATGATAAACTTATTTATTACCACTCCTAATAAAAATACATAGTTGTTAGAACAACATTTTTTTTTTTGACAAGGTAATCTGTATTCCAAATAATCAAAGTTCAGGGACTACATTGCTCTCTTGTAAAAGTAGAGGTACTAAAATGACAGGTGGCATTGAGAACCAGATCTCTGTCTCTTCAGCCCTACAATTCAATCGAGCCATCTCATGTGCGCATGCATTCCCTTCTCTTTTCCAGAACCTCCAATCCACATTTCCTTCTTCAGCCGCTCGATCCCGAATTTCTTCACAGACCATTCCCACTTCCATTTCTGTTGCATCTCGCTGATTAAGCTTCTGTATCACTGATTGGCAATCGGACTCAAGAAGCAGCGGTTGGGAAAAATGCTGTCTGGCTAGCTTCAATCCCCATCTCATCGCCTGGGCTTCTGCCATCTCAATCGACCATCGCCTTTTCGTTCGGTAAGTCGCTCCCATCAGAAACTTCCCTGAGCAGTCTCTAATAACCAATCCATAACCCGTTCCCTCCATGCCCAGGATCGCCGCATCGGTGTTGACTTTCAGAGTTCCAGCAGGTGGGGGTTCCCATTTAATCTGGGTTCGAGGGCGATTGGATGGTGTACCTGTACTGCCCTGGCTCTGCTGCGCTTTGTACTCGTCCAGGTAATTCAGAGCTCTACTCGCGATTTCCCATTCCTCTAGCTTAGGGTTGTTGAAGAGGTGATTGTTTCTTTCTTTCCAAAGAAACCATAGCGTGATTAGCACCTGCGTAAGTTCCTCTGTATTCCCCCTTTCCAATAGATCACACAACCACGTTTCACAGTTCTTGCCTTCGCCCAATTTAAAGAAATTTGCCAAGTCACTCGATCTCCATACCCTTCCCGCCCAGTCACAGTCCCTTGTGATATGTTCCTGGGTTTCCTGCAGTCCACAAAAAGGACATTCGTCATGGGCATCCTTAATTCTCCGACTGAGATTTATTCCTGTTGGTAGAATGTTGCTACCCCATCTCCAAACAAAGATTCGAACTTTAGGAGGCAATTCGAGCATCCATACTTTCTTCCAATCAATCGGTATATATCTCTCAATTTGGTTCGATGCTAGCTTCCTTCTCCATTCTTTATACCCTGATCTGACCGAATACTTTCCTGTTTTATCTCTTCCCCAAATCAGAACATCAGGTCTAGGTTGAGAAGGAATTGGAATCTGTTCGATTCGGGCCCTGTCATTAGGTTGGAAATAGGATTGCAATAAATTGCTTTTCCATGAACAAGTTCCCCAATCAATCAGACTAGAAACCTTCTCAGTGGCACCCAGTCCTGTAGCTTGCGACTGAATTTTGAAATTTCCAGCTTCTGGGATCCAACGATCCCACCATATACGAATGTTTTCCCCATTCCCCACTCTCCATCTTGTCCCCTCTCTAACTAGAGACTGAGCTTTCATTAGGCTCCTCCAAATATAACTCGGATTCCCTCCTATATCTGCTTCCAAAATGTCACAGTGAGGGTAATACCGAGCCTTCAGTACCTTTGCTACTAGGGAGTCAGGCTTTTTCAGTAGGTTCCACACCTGTCTTCCTAATAGAGCAATATTAAATCCATGCAAATCCTTGAATCCCATCCCTCCTTCATATTTAGGGCGACATAACTTCTCCCAACTCATCCAATGTATTCTTCTTTCTTCTCTTTTCCTGCCCCACCAGAAGCTAGCAATCATTTTCTGAATTTCTTGGATTACTCCCTGGGGAATTTGAAAAACTGACATGGCATAGAGGGTTTGAGCCTGTGCCACTGCTTTGATAAGCACTTCTTTAGCAGCCATAGATAGCAATTTCCCCTTCCACATTTTGATCTTATCTCTTACTCTGTCAATAAGCTGTGCAAAGACAGCTTTCTTTGCTCGGCCTATAACTGTAGGGAGGCCAAGGTATTTGTCATGATACATGACTCTTCTCATTCCCAAAATTTCCCCCATCTCCTCTCTATCCCTTTCTAACACATTTGAGCTAAAAGATAGCTCAGATTTAGCTAAACTCACCTGCTGACCCGAGGCTAACTCATATGACCTGAGAAGGTCTCTGAGAGCTTCCCCCTGCTCCTTCTTGTTCTCAAAGAAAAATATACTGTCATCAGCAAAGAACAGATGAGTAATCATTGGTCCATTGCTGCTAATCTTGATTCCTCGAAATTTCCCCTCTGCTACTGCTTTTCTTGTCAATGCTGAAAGACCCTCAGCACATAAGAGGAAGAGGTATGGGGATATAGGGTCCCCTTGCCTCAATCCTCTTGAGGGTTTAAAAGTCTGTGTTTGATGCCCATTAATTAAGGCCGCATAACTAACACTGGTCACACAGCTCATGATCAGTCTCACCCAATCAACATCAAAACCCAACTTCAACATTATTCCCTCTAAAAAATCCCATTCAACCCGATCGTAAGCTTTAGCTATGTCTAGCTTAGCTGCCACAAATCCCTTCTTCCCTTGTTTCCTGTTCTTCATTGCATGAAAACACTCAAAACCAATCATAATATTGTCTGTGATATTCCTCCCCGGGACAAAAGCACCTTGAGTGTCTGTAATAACCCCGTCCAGAATAGGCTTGAGTCGATTTGCTATTACCTTTGACAGGATCTTGTAAAGGACTTTGCATAATGCTATTGGCCTGAATTCCTTAGGGGAGATTGGCTTCTTAGTCTTAGGTATCATCGCTAACAGGGTGTGATTCAAAGTGGGAGGAACCACCCCAGTTAGGAGAATTCTTTGGAGCTCTAAACAAACAGTGTCTCCAACCGTGCCCCAGTTCTTTTGGAAGAACAGTGCTGGCATCCCATCTGAGCCAGGTGCCTTAGTTGGTGCCATTTGTGATAAGGCCTCAAAAATTTCTTCCCTTGAAAACGGCTTCATGAGTTCTTGATTCATTAGGGGAGTAACCTTCGGTTCCACCAATTCCAACACCTCACTAATACTAGGTGTCTGTTCAGTAGTATAAAGTTTGATCAAATGGTCCATAAAACAAGCCATCACTCCCTCCTGTCCTTTGAAAACAGTTCCACTCTCATCTTGCAATTCCTTAATTGTATTTCGTCTTCTCCTGTTAGAAGCCTTGCGGTGGAAGAAACCAGTGTTTTTGTCACCTTCCTTTAACCAGTCTGATCTAGATCTCTGCTTCCATCTGATTTCTTCCAGATCAAGCACCTCATTGAGTTCTCTTTCCAGTTCCCTACGCTGTAGTAGTACAGCCCTGTTCTTTTTTACTTTTGACAGCTTTGCTAGGGCTCGCTCTATCTTCTTCCTTCTCACTTTCAGGTTACCAAACGTTTTCTTACCCCATTCAAGTAGCACTTTCTCGCAGTTCTTGATCCTGTCTTCCAGAGGTAGATCTGGATTCTTTCTCCATTCATTCTCAATAATAGGACCACACTCCTCATGCTTCTGCCAGTAGGCCTCGAATTTAAAGTGCCATCCCCATTTTATCTGCTCCTCTTGTAGGTTAAGTTCTATTTTAATGGGGATGTGATCTGAAGTCCATCTATCGAGGTGGACCACACGTGCTTCAGGGAACAAATTCTTCCATTCCATATTAGCCACAGCTCGGTCCAATCTCTGCTCTAAGAAATCTTCATCTGTTTTACCATTATCCCAAGTAAACATAGGTCCATAGTACCCCATATCTTCCAGATGACACTCATCTAAAGTGATTTGAAAATCCTCCATATTTTGGATATCAGGAGGATTTCTTCCATTCTTCTCTTCATAATTTAGGACCTGATTGAAGTCCCCACATAAAATCCATGGTAGGTTTGACTGAGCCTGAAGCCTTCTAATTAGTTCCCAAGTTTTAGGCTTGTTCTCCTGCTCTGGCCATCCATACACCCCAGTTAACCGCCATATTATCAGGTCTGCAGGGATTGCAGGTGCAGAAGTTGCTGGTTGAGATAAAGCTCGGATTCGTAATGGTTCTTCGTCGGGGACGCCATAGCTTCATTTTCCCCGGGAGTCCGGCGGAAGGCAGAAATCCGGCGGAAGGCAGAACAACATGGATTTGAACTTATTAAATTAAGAGCTACTTATCAAGATATAGAAAAAGAATTCCACAACATAGAAATTCTCTATTTTGGGTAGGATTTCTGACAATATACCACTGCACTGCTGTATGTGGTATACCTGTTTTAGAACAAGTTGGTATAAATTTCAATCACCAACATATATATAATCATCATATTTTCTCCCCTTAAAACGTTTAGTTCACTAAACCTGTCATATCGTAGCCCAACTACTACATCTAGACGTGGCATCAACCCATCAATATAAAAGTGACAACGTGTCCAGTTTTAGTTCGATTAACATATTATATTGGACTAATTAAGCCTAATTAGTAAAGATATACTAGCTAGTATGTGTAGCATACCCTTGTAAACAATCTTAACGATGGTTAATAATGTGTTTTTACAGACCATACACCATGCTACTCATTTCAGTATTTTATACAATTATTGTTTACAGATGAAAGACATAAAAAGAATAATTGTAATTTAATTCAGCTAACATATAATAAGTTACATTAAGAATCAATAACTTACAATGGATTTAGGATTTGAAAGGGCAAAATCCATAAAGGAAAAAAAAAAAAAGAGATTTGAAAGGGCGACAGTGGCTCATGCATGTGCTTGTCTATCTTTTATTCTTGTCTTAATTTTGCTGTGTGTTTTGGATTCTCTTACAATGGAAAGTCTTTAAAAGCACATTCGAAAAAAGCTATGATTGGATCAATGCGGCGGAGTCAAAAGGAAAACTTGATTGGTCGCAAATTAGTTGATTTTAAGTATTCTGTGTGTTGTACTACTACCTATTACGTACATATCGTCCAAAGATTTATGTGTGTTGTACTACTACTTGTTGTGGCAGTGCGTGACAACATTTGACTACTACACAGTCGCTGTCCAATGGCCTGCTGGGAGATGCAACGTCAGAGACATTCCATGCTACTTGCCCGTGCGTAATAATTTCACAGTCCATTGCCTCTGGCCATCCCTCTACGGGGGCAACACGATCGAGGATTGTGGGTACGAGGACGCGGAGGCTTTAGATGTAAGAATAAAAATATTCTCAAAATTGTTAAAGTAAACACTTTTATTAGCTTTGCGTAGTGTCGTAGTTATTACAGAAAACTTATGTAACACGTTTGTTCGACTAATACATAAGAAATAACTATCCCTTCAACGTTTATAAGGTTTACAAAGTATATTTTAGTAATTGTTATATAACATTGTTATATAACCTTCCGTAATTTATGATCTAATAATAGTATCAAGTTAACCGTCTCACATTTTATTAAGCTATGTTTGGAGGTAGTTAATGACCCCAACTTTCCCCCCTTTTTGATACATCTGTATACAGTGTATGAAACTCCAATGAACAGTACTTTTGTTTTCATGATTTCCCTATTTGTCGCAATGAACGGTAAACTATTGGAATAAAACTTGTGCTTTTAATTAATTAATTAATTAATAATATGTGTATGAACATAAAATGATGGAAATTTGATGGCGGGGTCAATTTAAACCCTCTCTCCTAATTGCTAGGGTACTTATAATCGATTAAGTCCAATCAAATCGAGTTTTAGATTGCTCAATTTTAGGGAAGTGCAAGTATATGCTATACCAAAATACATAATGAACATTGTGGTCCAATTATAAAAAAAAAAAAATATGAGAATTCATAATCGGATTTTGTGATAGTTGGGCGTCGCCACCACCAACCTTACCTATTTCCATGCTTGCAAAAGAGGGTTTACAAATAGTTACCATTTTAACATGCCTCCAACTAATTGGGTGTATTTATTTGGCCTAAGTAATCATTTTATTTAATCCAGTCGTATTGGTTGGAGAGCTACATAATATATACTTTAGAAAGCTACAACGTACTCAATTGTGAGAAGAAATTGTAGTTTGTCATGGAAAAATATATAGCATGCCTAGGCTTCTTAATATACATATACAGCTGTATGCAGAAGAACAACAGGACTTCTGTTCGTCTTGCCCAAATAAGTCAACTCAAAATTGTATTTGGATCTGATCCAATACTTTAAAGATCATCACAACTGGATCAAATTATCGAATGAGTCGCCCCATTATCATAGCTAGACAACTTCATCATCATCAAAAGTCAAAACAATCAATATATTTATGCGTGCATTTTTCAAGATCTTATATGGTTAGAGCTTAGACGAATTTTGCGCAAATATTTGATCTTCTTATTTGTTCGAAATTCAAATTTTCTTTCTTTTCCGATTTCAAATAATCCTTCTTATCCGATTTCGAAATCGAGAAATTTCTACCGAATCCGATAGTTCAATCATCAGCTGTCGATGCAGACAGCAAATGCCCGGCTGAGTGGTGCAGAAACCCTAGCTGTTTTCTTGGAACTAAACGTATGTGTTTGGTTTCTCTCCGACGTTGTGGATGGAAACAACCATTGAAAGCGATAAGAGGAGTTTGACATTACGATTGCTCGTCGGTTGCCACACATTAGTTCTACAAAGTTTGCCCAAAACCAGTCCTTCTATGTCGAAATAGTAAAGGCAGAGGGAAGACCAATTCCAGCTTCATGCCACTATATGCATCTATTCGTTGAAATCGCAAAATATTGGTCAAGTTATCTCAGCAACTTGCACTTACCCATCAACATGCTACCAAAATACAGAAACCTTCTTCAAATATCGCCAAGTCTTACAGAAACATTCTTCAAAAGATTAAAAAAAAAATGAAAAGCCTGCAGGCTGCAAACGTAAGAAGCTTCTATCTTCCTATTCTGAACAAGTAAAAGCAAGAGACACTCCTTTTTTCCCCCTTTCTTCCTCCTGAACGAAACAAGTAAAAGCAAGAATTTCCTGTACGACGTGGTCGACCGTCACTTTTGATAGGCCTATATACGCTTCTTTTTTCCCCCCTTCTCAAAAAACAATGTTTCTACTTTTAGTTGTGCACTGCCACAATGATAGAATGCCAAAAATGCATCTAAACATAGAGAACCAGAACACACATAACCTGAACAAGTCTTCCCTCTTTGTTGTTGTTGAACTCAGTAGTGATTAGAAGCTCATGCTTTCAACTCGAATTTCCCCGGTTCAGTGTACTGCTTCTCGAGCTGCTCCGTTTTCTGGAATCTGAACCCTCTGATTCTTATTTCCTCGGGTACAGAGGTGTCCTTGTAGTCGACTTTCTCGATGGCCCAACCCTTGTTCTTGACCGAACCCCCAACTTTCACCTGTCCACGGGATTTCTAATTTAGAAAACGGAGTACTTCAATGCATAGCATAATTGTCAGGTTTATTATACAAGGCGATCGACTGACCTCAGCTCCATCACCCGACTCGACAACAAGAGCTCCATCCAACGAGAGATTTTCGATGAATATGTTACGACCTTTAAGAGCTAAGGTAGACTTTTGGGAAATGGACGAACTTCCAGCAACTTTCTTCTTGACATCTGCAAATGTTAGACCCCACTTTGGCTTCCATACAACACGAGGCCACACTTCCACTTCTTGCCCATTGAATTCCTGCTGCACTGGATCTTCTACTTGCACACCAGCCTGTTTGATGAACACAAAAAGAATTTAATAGCCGTGGGAAAATATTCATTAGTTCTTCAAGCAGTCTCAACATAAAAATGCAGCAATAAGTACATTTCTGAGGATGAGGCTGTTTGCGCGATAGACAGCCATTTCTCCAGACGTCGCGCTGTGATATGGATTTCCTTTGGGTACCTTTATTGAATCACGGTTTATTAAGTAAGAGCAAGAACGATATTCCAAAACGAGGAAACAAAGAGCGGAGATTGAGATGAGAGGAGAACAACAGAAACAGAAACCGTGAAACATGAATGTAAGCGCATCTTTTAGAATTAAGGTTTCATCCATGGAATCGAGAGGATGAAGTTAGTTGTCCGTGGCTGTGAGAACAAGCACAGATGAGCCTAGATTTTACACTATTTGAATGGCAGGAGGCTGCAACTTCCTTCTTCCTTTCACCAAATACGATTTGAGACCTCCACCTACCACGCTCCTACCAGTATCCAATTTCCTCCGACATCAGTGGAATAAAATTTCACATAGGAATTATCAGACTCACCTTGGCAGCATCCTCAGGGTTATTCTTAACTGGAGCATAAGCAACCCATGCATCCATAACCTAAGCCAAAAATAAGATAAAAGGTGGATATCAGGAAGACAGTCAGACTACATCAAGTTCCCATCATGTTTTGGCACATATGGTTGATCAGGATAGCACCAGAGCATAACAAAGTTCAGACAAGTTTACAAACATTACCGTAAATCCAACCCTTGCCGATGGAGGCAAGGTTTTTGGATAATCCTGCATCATGCACTCCAGACGGGTGGATGACTTAAATGCAGTTTTACTGGCATCTTTGTATCTGCATCAAGAAAGCAACCATGTTTCCTCTTAAGTTGGTTTGGGCAAAATAAGGCCAACTTACAATATGTCGCAAAACAACAGCCAGTGACAGGGATATTACTTTGGATTTACGAACTCCTTTATAGCTCCTCCCGTTTTCTTCAGCTCCTCAAAGTAAGGACCAAGTTCCATAATCAACTGCAACAACGTAAATATAGGGTAGGTGAAGGTCAGGAACTTATAAAGATGATAACATACACAAATTTAGCCGAAAAATAAATAGTGAAAAATAGTTTAATCGTCCCAATTGGACTAAGGTAACGAAGGCTAGACACAAGCATGAAACTAATTAAGACATCATGTACATCAGTTATTTGGAAAAACAGACAACCTATAGCTATCAGAATGGACTAAAAATAAGGAATGTTGGCACAAGCATAAAACTCATGAAAATGGTTACTTAAATATATGTACGGAATACAAAGTTCATTCTCAGAATGAACAATAACCATTTCAGCAAAAAACCAAAATCATGTCATGAAGTTTATAGTGCATAAAAGAATTATCAATGTACTGGACCTATTGTTAGCAACCAATATTAGCAACTAGAAATACTGAATTGTTGGCCCATATATGATAAGACAGGAAATAAATAACTTGTGATAGGATTACCCTCTACTCTACTCAAGATTATGACACCCTCTCTATCTAGTGCAAATATGTGGAAAATAACCAGGAGAATAAAATAATAGAGGAAAGGTTCTACCATAACATCATTTGATGATGGTAATAAGTGCATAGGTTGAAGCAGGATACTGTCATGTGTATTATAAATTTATTATAGCATAAGTACACCCAAAAATAGTTGAAAACAAAAAGAATACTGAAGCAACAAGGATTGATATCCTCTACTCTGTGCAGATGTACTCATTAAGAAGAGCCATAAGAATTACTTGGTTGATATTTCCTGGGAAAGGCGAATAGCCAGTCTCACAGTTAACATCTCCATCAGGATTCCCAGTTGCTCTCAGCAATGGGTCAAGTTGATTGTACTCTACATTGATCACCATTGACCTTCCTGAAACATCAGTATCATTTGAACAGATTAAGACCTGGATCAATTATGTATCTATGAGACAAAAATAAGATACAGGATTCACAATCTGATGATGTATCTATGACCAAGCCTGGATCAATGTTGTACTTGGTTGGAAACTGGACCTTAAAGGTTCACATACTATAATCCTCAACTACAAGACAGCAATTGAGTTCCAACCATGTACCATCCAAAAAATTACATAAGAATACTCGGACATCACATATGGTCAGCTCAGCAAATTGTACCCTCATCACCGTGACTAAAACCACAGCGAAAATGCAACCAAGATCTATAAAAATACTTCAAACCCAACTCAGTTATGCAATTAGGCTAGGATTTTACCGTCTGTATGAGTAAGCTTAGTGATTCCACCAATAGCTTCTTTAGCTTTGCGAGGAACAGCAAGCGAGTTAACATGATACCCTTTAGTGGCACTGACTCCCAATGAAGCAGGAATTGCCTGCAAATGAGTATTTCTTTCATTCATTAAAGCACAAAAGCACCTCTTGTTGCATGTATACGAACAACTTTTGATAGAATATTCAATTAAGCAAACAAACCTTGAAGAGAAGTCCATTGGTGTCTTGAAAGAATAGAACCCACCTCACACCACCCCGCTGCCTAAGAAGACAAGAAATAAATCAAATCAATTACATATGTTTTTGCTAGTACATTGCACTTGCTAATACTGGTGACAAAAAATTTTTAAAGAGGACCCAACGTCTAAAGAGAACGTTGATAAAATGGAAGGTAGAGGTTAAGGGCCAGACAACACGTATAGTACTAAAGAACCCCTGCCTGCTGTCTATGTGGACAAAAAAAAAAAAGATGAACATAAATGTAAGGTCGACTAATTCTAATAAACAAAATATAAACGATAGGCATCAAACAAAGGGCAAACAGAAAACCAAGGAAGTGCAGGATCAGAACAACGAAATTCAGTGCAGAAGACGCAATACCATTCTTCAAGTACCCCACTTGAGTAAAGAAGTGCATGAACATCACCATGACCATGAGGTTTTGTCTGTCATTGAGCAGAAAATATGTAAGAAACTACAGTAACACCAAAGTTAGGGCACTAATATAAGGGACAGCCACCTGAATTCTGAACTTGTTTTGAGGATCCAATGCAAGCCTTGCATCATTATCTTCTAAGCATGCAACTTTCTCCTGAAAATGGGATAGTTAAACGAGGTCATCAGTTTTCCAATCTTTAAACAGTCCTCAAATACCGCAGTTATACCTGTTTAAGAAGTTTTATCTGAGCAGGTTTCATCCCAAAATATTTGTTTGATTCCAAAAGCTGCATTGTACGTGCATGTGTGTCATCTGATGTCATGATTGCAAACGGAATATCCCTTTCAGATTGACCTGCATTGCCAAAGGAAGGAGGTCAGAATAAAGCCAACACTCAGCGATTCAACCTTCAAATTGCATTTAGAGGGTGTATAGAAAAAATCACAAATTTTAGGTTGCTTAAAATGGGTGATTCTCGAATCTCAACTACTCTAGAAGCTAAATTAACCAGCATAACACATAAGTTCAACACACATGTGCTGAACTCGTGCATTTTGTCTCTCACCAGACCAGAATGTGTTTTAATAGTAGGACCGAGGCTTACATGAATAATGACACAGTTAAAACACTAGGCCTTTCCAAGAACTAGCTTATGAAATTCCAGTCAATAGACTCTTATCTCATAAGCATAAGCACTAGGATAGCCGTGACATTCAAACAAATCCAGTTAGAGTTAAAGTTTAAGTAGGATGCCAATGGTTGGAAAAACACAAAATTCGCACTAACCTCCAGTGACTTTACAGCTGGCTTCCTGAAGGGCCAGAACGTTTTCAATGTAGTGCTGCAAGAAACAAGCTCCTGTTGTAGTCTCTCGCGGAAGAGCCACCTGCCATACTTTAGAAGTAAGAACATATCCAAAGCAAACAGTCTGGTGAACAAATAGCATCAATGACTTTGACACAACCATCTTTCTTTTATTTAACTAGAAGGTTCCTGTTTTCTTTGGTAAGTGAGAAAGATCCTGAACTGTGCCAGGAACGTGGTTCGCTCAATGGTTATAAGAGTTGAAGGATTCTAGTGCTGAAAATTGAAGAAGAAACAGCAAACATAGAGGTAAGGAATGTATATGTGCAAGGTTAAAGCAAGTAGAGAACGCAGCATTGGAAATTGGCTATAGTGCACATTGCAAGCGGAGAGGAATAACAGAATCTGAATTTCAAATAGCACGAACACGTTGGATCAAATGTTCTTCGAAGATGCAGAAGGAAGCCAAAATTCCTACAAGGATTTACCAGATAATTTAATTATGGAAACAGAGAGTGTTTACCTTAATACCATTGTAACCAAGGCGCTCCCCAAGCCCACCAGCAACAAGCACAAATGCTGCATTCTGAGCTTCCTTCACGCCCGCTTCCTCAAATTTCATAAATGTTTCGTCACCATAGCTCAGGTTCTCTCCTGTTGGAACCTGAAAATAGGCATTCCACCTTACTAAATATTCTTGAACATAGTGAAATGGCCCTAAAATAGAAAATATACATGCATAGTACTGAATTCTTATAAGCTGTAGTCTATTACATGAAGTGGGAAAGGAAAACAAACTGATAATCATGGTCACTAACATCAGCCTATGGAATTATTTGTACATATAGTCCATTCCAATCATTGGAGATGATGAAAGGAAAATAACAAGATCCTGTCAGCTTCCACTATATGCCGTGCACAAAATCTAGATAATTTTCACCAACTAACGTGCCAAATGCATGTCATAGCTAGCCATCAGATTTCCTAATGAAGATCTATTTTTTTCATGTGCGGATAAGAAGAAGAACAGAAAGTGGCAGAAACAAGGGTGCACAAGAGCAAAATACAACTAGGGTCACATGCCAATGCTTTCAAAAGCTTATAACAACACTCAAAAGCGCATAGAGTAACTTCAGGTGACACAGATACAGAGAAAAAGATTATCCAACTTTTAACTGCTAACATAGCAACAGAGGTTCTGCCTACAGTTTCCACTTAGTCAGCAATCTACTAGCCCAAATTTCACATCTATGTGCGTATTGAACAAGTGTCTTCACAATCTTTTGCTACAAACTACTGAGGTTTCTTATGACCATTATTGTGAAAGTTTAGAGCATTGGTATACATAATCTACATTCTCGTAAGAACAAGAATAATGCATCAGCGTCATCTAAGTTTAATTATCTTAAACTGGCATCCTTTTATCTTCTTCTTTCATACGAGCTTAAATGGTTAGGAATGCAATGAGCAAGAGAATCACAATCTCACAATGAAATCATTGGCTTATGAGATCAAAGTATTAGGGACATTCTTCAACAAGTAACAAAAAATTTAGCCATCCAACCAGTAAGGCAGTAACCATAAAAGGTTACCTGTAAAGCCATTCAGGTTCAACAAGACTATTGTTGGTTCATATGAGCATGAACAATCATGGAGAAACCATTAAAGTAAATTCCAAGACACATATAACTCTAATCTTAAGCATTTGTTGGCCTAAGCATGCAATGATTCCAAATTCCTAAACTGTCCAGAAAATAATGATATCAATTGCAGCAAAGAAGCCGTGGAGTCTAACAAATAGAAGTATGGACTAAATTACCGAAGGTGTAAACCCATCAAAAGGGTTCTTCCCCGTTTTGGAGTCAGATAAGAGTCCCCTGGCTGTCTTAATATAAGATGCAAGACCTCCCGGATAACTTGAATTCAGCCGAGTCACCTACGAGGAATATCGATAACACACACAGCCTTGAGTTAGATGCCAGTGGAATTCTGTACAACAATGTGGCGCCAAATTTTATTTATCATTAAACCAATAAAAGAAAAGAAAATTAAGGCAACCTGATCGAAGAATGCCTTCTTCTCGCCGTCGTCAACCCCAGGCTCCGGCCAGTTGGTGAACAAGTGACTTTGTTCCATCGCCACAAGCATCTTCGCCAACTCGATCTATCGTCCCCGGCCACCACCATTACCACCGCATTAAACCACAAATATCGCAATGATTTCATGAAAGAGAAACCAAATCCCCAGTGCATTCACAGAAATGAGAGCAAGAACCAGCCAACGTCGGAAAGAAACGGGCCGTTGGGAGCAAAAAACCAGAGGCCGCAAAGATTCTCACCTGATCAGGCGACAGAAGCGAGAGGTTCTTGTGCAGATTAGGGACCGAGGACGCGAAATCGCCATTGATGCCGAGCTTGGAAATGCCTTCCGTCGCGGATTCCATATCTGGACGATCTTCTGCGGTTATTGGTTCGGGAGAACGGACGGAAAACGGATCACAGATAGGAAAGGGAGAGAGAAGTGTGGATTTATATAAGGGAAATGAGTAGGCAGAGAAAGCGATATGCACAGTTTTCAGAGAGTTACGTAGTGCTTACGTGGCGGATTGGGACTGTGAGATTTAGGCGCTGACGTCGGAGCTAACCGCTTCTGTGTCGTTCAACTCGGCTCGTACCGGTCCGATCGGAACGCATGAACCACGACTCGGGGTCTGACCGAGCGGACATCGGATTTGGGCCAAATTCTGCTGGCCCAATGAGTACGGTGGGCCTGAGCTGGAATTGCTGCCCCGGCCCACTTCCCGCTCCACTGTCCCCCGCCGAACGGGAGGTATCTCGGTGCTTCCTTTCCGAGCCGGGAATTCAAAAATCACAACTCAGAAGGCAAAGGAAAGGTTAGGAGAACATTGAGCTTGGAAGAAATCATCAGAATACAACTCTTCCTAATTGAGAAGGACGAAGGAGAGGCATTCTTCTTCATCTTTCTGGGGATTCAGTACCGGAGTAAACAGCTGCTAGGAAGATGGTGAGGCTCACCGCCGACTTGATTTGGAAGAGCCCTCATTTCTTCAACGCCATCAAGGAGCGTGAATTGGATCTTCGAGGTACATGCGAGTTTCTGCTCTGCGTTCTCAACCCTTTACTTGCCTTATTATGCGGGGTTTTAGGGTTTTGCTCTTTAGGTTTGTTCCTGCAGGTTTAGGGTTTTGTTCTTTCCATACCACTCTCTGTGGAACATGTTTAAGCTGTATACTTGCTTACTCTGAGGGGCTATTCTTTTTTCCCGTTTTGGCTTTCAGGTAACAAGATCCCTGTCATTGAGAATTTGGGTGCTACCGAGGTAATTTTTCTTTTTCTTCAACTCTTTACTACTCTCAGCTTTGTAAACAGGATAAGTAAAGAGTTAGGAATGTTAATCTTGGGTATGGGTGAAGTCAAGCTTACTCTGTTGTTCACATTGTACTGAAGTATTGTCAGAACAATCACTGATTAAGCGAATGCCAAACTGGAGGTTTACTAGTTACTCAAGTTTGAGCATTCCACTCGCCGTTTGTGCTAGTTGTCGAGCCTGCTTATTGTGAGAATGATAATCTTGGTTGTGGGTCAAATGCAACTTGCTCGGTCTCATTGTAGTGTATTGTGGACAGACCTATCATTGATTGAAGCCTATGCCAAAGTTGAACTTCTGTAGTTCCTAAAAGTTTAGTCTTCCCCGTCTGCTGTAGCTAACAAGCCTGCACGGTGTCATTGTGGTTCCTTCTTCTGAGGACTCTCTTTTACTACTTTCAAAATTGTTTCTCTGCCCCTTAAGAACAGATATGTTTACCTGCAGCTGTAGTTGATCTGCTCTTTTTTTAATTGTACTCTGTTACTTTATTTGATAGGTTATGCTAGAAAGATTGAGTTCAAGCTCTCAACAGTAAATGATGTCCACCCATCTGTTTTGCAGGACCAATTTGATACAGTTGACTTGTCTGATAATGAGATTGTCAAGCTGGAAAACCTGCCATTTCTTAATCGCTTGGGCACTTTGCTTCTGAATAACAACAGGATTACTCGTATTAGCGCTAGAATCGGAGGTAATGTTTTAAACTTTGGACGGCTGTTTGGCTTTTTGTGCACAATATATTGAAGTAAACATTTTACTTTAAGTGTGGGCAATGCTCATCAACTCTTATGTTTCTTCTTTGGTACAGAGTTCTTGCCGAAACTGCATTCATTAGTTCTGACAAACAACAGACTTGTTAATTTGGTGGAGATTGATCCTCTCTCCTCTCTTCCAAAACTGCAGTTCCTCAGTCTTCTAGACAACAACATCACAAAGCGGCCCAATTATAGGCTGTATGTAATCTTCAAGCTAAAATCCCTTCGCGTTCTTGATTTCAAGAAAGTGAAAGCGAAGGTGAGATCATATTCTTAGATCGTGTATGTCTCATATTTGTCCCTGTTACTTTCCTTAATGGATACTTATATTTCCAAGTCAAGAATCCATCAACATTCCTTTTCATTTGCCGTCCTGGCTTTATTTGTTTCATTTTTTGAACTAAGCATAGCTTCTGGATTCCATTATTTGCTCTATATTGGAAATCATTGTTAGTTTCTACATATTCTGGTGGTCACTTCTCGAAGCATATCTTCAAATTCATTTGGTGTTTCTTTATTCGTTGAATAAGTTCAAATGTGGTTTGATGCCCTCTTCAATATTATTCGTCATTCTGTAAATCACCACTTATGGATAAGCAAACTAGCGGTCAGCCATTAGGTAGTCACCTACCATAAAGTTGAGCACTTGCTAATATACTTATTTCACATCACCCACTGTTGAAGATCGGCTCTATAGTTGCTTTGTCTGTACTTGCTATTTGCTTTAATCCTGCATCTATTATCATGTTCGGATTTTGCTGATAAGGATGTATATGGTTGTTTAGGAGAGGGCAGAGGCAGAGAGCTTGTTTGCGTCGAAGGAAGTGGAAGAGGAAGCTAAAAAAGAAGTGGTTAAGCCTTTCACCCCTGCTGATGCTCCTATTGATGTGGATGTTGCAGGGGAACAACAGAGTGGCAAGGTGGTAGGACCCACACCGGAACAAATCATAGCTATTAAGGTACCTCCCTCGAAAAAACTACTTGATAATCCTTGTCTATGTTTCTGTTTGCATTAGTGTAATGCTCTACTACTTGTTGATTCACTTGGTTGTACTATGTGTTCCCCGAACAGGCTGCCATTGTGAATTCGCAAACTCTTGAAGAGGTTGCCAGACTAGAGCAGGTATACTTTCTATTTAGCCAGATCTGGTCATTGCAACAAGATAATTTCGGTCTTCATAAAACGGCCCAGTTATGATCCAAGTTAAACATTATACCTTATTGGTGAATGATGGCAGGCACTGAGTACAGGGCAGCTTCCAGCGGATTTGAAACTTTTCGATGAAGTGCCCCAGTCAGGAGAAAAAGCAGAAGCAATGGCCACCGATGAGATCCCTACTGGACCTTCAGATATGGAACATGTAAGGTTTTTCTTCCTTTCGTACGCTGTCCATGCATCGATTATCGTCATCATCGTTGTCATTACTGGTTCTGTTTCGTAATGCAATCTCCTTTCTTCCATGTATCAGGAATAGGTTGGTTATTGGGCAGCTGATCTATGGTCGTTTTTAGCTACAAGGGTTTTACATTACAAAACTTTATTCAGCTCAGGAGATCATGTAACGAATCCTAGTGTTCGAGTGTTGTTGAGAAAAGGCCTTTCTTCCTTCTCTTCAGTATGGAGAAACTGACCCTCATTTGTACAAATTCTTTGTCTGTGGGGCTATGTATCACCATGAAGATTGACTTTCAGAATCTAGCAAATGAAACTTTGTTCCGACTTTTGAAGTTTGTATATTTGTCTGATCTGTTGAGACTGTTCAATTCGGGTGGGTGGGTATTAGGCATTTTTGTGCAGTTCATAACTATCAGTCTATCACCATGGAAATAGGTGTCAGAAAATCCTGGAAATAGATTCGACGAGGGTGAAAGCCGAAAGGTATTGGGTTGATAGCGTCTCATAATAGGGGAAGCCTGCGGCGTCATAATGAGTCCTGAAGCCAGCATGACTTTGTTCATATTTTTCGATGATTCGACAACAAAAATGCTATCCTTAGCGGAAAAAATCGGACGCGGTTAGGAGATCAGAAGACATAGACTCGATTCATACGATTTTCCGTTGGTCGCCTATCGTTCTAAAGCTCCTCCTATTGCTTGGCTGTAGAGATCTTGTGAAGGCAAATGGTCAAGCGAGATAAGGATTGAGGCAAGTTTCTGGGTTTTGTGTGCTTGTCTTCGTCTGATTCTCCATCTAGATTGGCATGCAATATCACTCCAACGATAAGAGACTTTTTTGTCATGATATGAGCAACTCTGTTATACTTACTAGGTGCGCTATATGATGAAACAAGAAGACGAACGCAAGAATCTCCCTGATAATTTAATACCTGCAACTAAATTGCTCTGGAGCTGAGATAAATCAATAATGGTGAGATTTGTTTTGTTAAGCAGAAGCGTAATTAACTAATTATTGTGATTGGACTGAACAGAAACCGGCAATCCTGCATCAGTTTATAACTCATCCGATTCCCAAGGCCAAGGGAAGGTAAAAGGCAAAAGGAACAGGAAAGACATTTTCCTAGTAAAGTAACTCTGTCAGACATTTTAGATTCCCGGGCCAATCAGTTGAGCAGTTGAGCTGAACCCCAAAAGATAAACCAATAACCCGACCCGACCCGACCCGACCCGACCCGACTAGCCTTCCCTCTTCTTTTCTTTTCCGTTTTCTTCCCTCTGTTCCTCTCTCTTTCAGTAGAGTCAGTCAGCAAGCCGCGGCGGAGTAGAAGCAACAGCCGTTACAGCGCTCCAAGCAAGAAAAAGCCCAAAATTTTAGAGAGAGAGAGAGAGAGCCCCTCTGGCCGCTCTTCTACTTCCTCAAAGAAAACCCCAATTTCGCTTCAAGAGGGTTTCGTTTGTTTTCCCCTTTCCGAGGTTGATCATGGCTTCTTTTTAGCTGAACCCACTCCGCCCCGCCCTCGGTAACCCAAAAAGTAAGTATCTTTCACCTTTCTCTCTTCTCTATTGTTCTTCCTACAATGTCGCCTCTCAGCTGCATTCATCTTAACCTTGCATGTGCGGATTTCATGTTTTGAATGATTCCTTTGCAAGCACTTTTGGAACTTTCCACTGGGTTCGTATGGAATCAACAGTTTTTGGAATGCCTTCAGTTTGCATTCTGTTGATCTTCTCACTTTTAAAAAAGAATTCCGATGATAGGTTGTTGAATGTTGAGACAAAAGGGTTTGTAGGAGTGAACTGAATGGGGTCTCTGAAAAGGAAAAGTAGAGGGACCGATTATATGGAAGATGAGAGGATGCAGAGGCGAAAGAAGAGAAGGCACATGGCTGATTTAAGTCACGAGGGTTATCCATCGAAGAATGGTATCAGTGGTGGCAGCACTGCCAAAACCCGGACAAGAACTAGGGGAAATTTGCCTAACCAGGGTGCTAGTAACGACCATCATTATCCTCCAGATGATGATTACAAGTTCTTCTTGGATAGCTTGGGTCTGGGCCTTCCGTCAGCAGCTGATTCCGGTGACCGGGTTGGTGGTACTAGTGGCTGTGATAGTGAAGCCGCCACTCGGGGTATGTGTTCTGATCTGAAGGGGGACTGGCCGGACTTGGACATTGACCTTTTCCAACTCTTGGCTGAGAAAGGTGGTGGTAGCAGCAGCATTAGAGCAGAGGATGATGGCGTCGGTAACGGTGGGGATCCAGGTGCTACCAGTGGATGTGGCACGTCTATGGATGGTGACAATGAAGCTGCTCGGTATGTAGACGACTCTTATCTCCGGGCATGCTACTCCGGTGATAAGAATGGGATGAGTTGCAAGGATGATACTGGTGATGAGGCTACTGATGATGGTTGTGATGATAAGTCGGGAGATAGCTTTCATGGTAATTCTGAGTTTGTGGAAGAAGCCGGTGAGATTGGAGGCTCTGGTGATGATGATACGTCTTTTGACAATGTAGCTCCTGCTGAAGAAGTCGCAGACCATTGCAGGCATTTCGATCTCTCGGATCCAGATCAAACTGCTGATGATGATATCCTCGAAGCTTCTGATCCGGCATATCTTAGTTTCTTAGAGAACCTGAGAGAAGATGGGACTGCATACAGTGTCGAGCTACCTGTGAGCAATGGAAAGTCACTATCTTTTGTTTATGAAAAGCAATATGTTTCTCGTGGTCAATGTGACGCTGGTGAGCCAAGACAGACTTCTTTACAGCGAAAGAATGGAGAACCGGATATTTGTCTGGGGCTACGTTGCGATGAAACTCAAGGTCATTGCCAGATAGGAAATGAAGGAGGTGCTGGATGTGATCCGAGAGTTCCTAATGGAAGCAACAAGAGTTTATTGACGGGGAGGAAGTTCTCTTACAAAACTGAAAATGGGGTACGCAGTGGATTTAGAAGAGAAGAGAAGTCCCAAATGGAAGACCTTTTGGAGAGAGAGAGCAAAAGGAAGGGGGAAGAACGTGGGGATTCAAAGGTTGCGTGTGCTAGGGAAAGGAGGAGCTGTTCATCCTTGAAACCAAGGATCAGAGATGAAGCGGGAGATGCACCAGAAAATGCATGTAGGACAGAAGCTCCAATGCCAGCCAGGGTTCAGTCGAAGTCCGGAGACACAAGAGAGAAAAATGTTCTAGTACCCAGTTTGGTGAGAGATAAAACAACTGAAACTGTGCCTTGCCGAGAGAGCAAAAAGAAGGGGGAAGAACGAGGGGATCCAAAGGTTGCGTCTGGTAGGGAGAGGAGGAGCTGTTCACCCTTGAAACCAAAGATCAGAGATGAGAAGGGAGATGCACCAGAAAATGCACATAGCAGAGAAGCTCCAATGCCAGCCAGGGTTAAGCCCAAGTCCGGAGAGACTAGAACAGAAAAAGTTCCGGTACGAAAAGAAGAACAGAAAACGAAAGCTCAGAAGGATGTGAGCGACATGCACGATACGAAAAGAAGACGTTTGATTCCTGACAGAACACAGAGAAAAGAGTCCTTGAATCCTGTCCCCTGTGAAGAACCTGCAACAACTAAAATGCCTTCGAACAAAAATGAACAGTGCAAACCGAAAGTAGAGCTGGATGACATGCAGGATAGGAAAAGAAGACGTTTGATTTCTGCAGAAACACTGAAAAAGGGGTCCTTGAATCCTGTTCCCCGCGAAGAACCTGCGACAACTAAAACGCCTTCAAACAGAAACCAATGCTGCAGGCCTAAAATAGATGAGGATCAAATTGACAAATGCTATGAAATATTCCTCTGTTCTCTGAAGAAGAAGCCAACACACATTGAATTTGTCCCTTCAGTTGGCGAAAGAGTGTTATATCATGACTATCCCACCAGCTATCCCACCAGCCCATCTGATTCAGATTTAATGGAGATTGATGCCGCCACCTTTGCTAATGACGTCAACACTCCATTCGTGCTAGCAAAGAACCATGGAATCATTGTAATGCATTCCTCTCATCAACCTCGTTATTGTTGTGGGCTATTTTGTTATTCTCCTTTTGTGGTTTTTTAAAAGATTTCGTCTTTTTTTCTTTTTTTTTTTGGCTGTGTTCACATTTGAAGGATCTTGACTTGGAACCTGAAGAAGGCCATGGTGGGAATCACTACAACTCTGTGTTCAGGGTGAAGCTTCTTGAGAATCTAAGAAAGCCTTACGACCGGAGAGAGTACGAGGAGTTGTTGAAAGAAGTGTCTTGCAGGAAGCAAATGGTGAAAGATAGAGAACTCCGGCATGGACGAACAGTGGAGATCAAGCTGGAAGCTTTTGGGCAATCTTACCTTGATAAATATACAGGTATGCCCTTTGGCTGTGCTAGAAGTTGAAGTACAACATTTTGTTACAACAATTTTATCCCCTTTTCTTTTCATTAATCTGTGATTCTGTCAGTAGTTATGGATTCCTCCAGGTTGATAACTTGGTTATATATTATTGTAGATTTTGCAAGAAAGCTTCACGAGTTGAAGCCTGATTCGGAGTGCAATCGCCCCGTAAGGTTGAACTTGTTACGTGGGTTTTTCTATTGGTTGGAGGTTAGTGCTTCTTTTCTTCTTGAACTGATATTTGGTTCCGAACTCTGAAGCTTACTCATATACTGGTTTTAATAATCGTATCTGTCCTAAGAGTCAACATAGTGTGTGACTACATAACCATTACACGATCTCACTCCCGTTCTTTGTTGCCCTAGTTGACAATTCCTCTAATTATCCTCTTGAATCTAGAGTTTGTGAAGCTTGCTTGCTTATTTGACTACGATATCTGGTGGTTTGCTTCTTGCTTGTAATAGTTTGACTCGTCTTTTTGTTACTACTAAGAAGGGCTTTATTTATACCTTTTTTTCCTCTGCAGAATTTACCGCTTCCTGGATCTTTCCATCCATGGCTGGACGAGTCATGTTTGAAAGTGCTGCCAAGTAGCAAACTAGCTCCCCGGAATTAGAGTATTCAGACATTTATTTGGAAAGGGGGAGATGAGGCAGGACAGCTTTTGGGTAGAGGTTTAACTAACTATTTGAAAGACTCCTGTTGGCGGCAAACAGACTTTCAAATATATGTATTATATAATATTGCCTGCTCTAACTGTGTAGTTTGTTGCCATCACTGTACATCTGGACTACTCCCCTTGTTGTCGTCGTTGAATATGATCCTGGGTTTCCCCATGCTGAAATTGAGCGTCTTTGCCCTCATGTTGTATTTGATCTCTCCATCGTACAGCAGCTTCCTTATGTAATGTTCAATGTCCGAACCGATTAGTCGAAGCGTGTATTCCGTCAATGGTGCTCCCTGCTTTCAACACAGAATCGTCAGAAACTTGGTCCTAGCAAGACAGATCACAAATTGCAATGGCATTGAGTTGAAACAGATTGCAGGTATTGTTCTGTACTGTTTGTTATAATGGGACTAGGAAGTGGAGAGGAGCATGCCGGTTTGATTTAAGCCGCGAAAAAGGACATGACAAATCGGTGTGGTTTGACCCGAACTGTGAATCATGTAGTTCTGGCCGGCTTGTGATCGAAACTGCTATCGAAAATTCGAAATCAGCTCTAAATAGAAGGATCATTTTGGTTTAGTTTCTTGTTTCTAGTGCAGGAATTGCAGTCTACCGAATGAAAACGTATACCAAAACCAATTTACTGTGTTAATTTGCTCGAAACCCCTCTTCATTTGTGGTTATGAACACCAGCAGGACGTGTGCTTAGGCACGTCGAATCGGTGTTCCTAACCATATAAAGCATCAAATTGGCTTTGATCACGGTATAGGTTTGCTCAACAGTGGTATGATGAGGTTCAACCATGACCGTTGCCCGCCACTGAAAGGAAGCATAGTTACCTCATAGTGATCGACGAGCTCCTGGAAGTAAGAGTAGACCTTGGTGCAGGTAACATCATCCCACACGAACTCGTTGGTCGGGTCGAGGATAAGAGTGAGCTTATCCATCTGCGTCTGGTCCATCTCGCAGGTCACGGGGTCGATGTAGGCAGCAAAGATCCTGACGTGGCGAGTGGTGCTGCTCAGCCACTCCCCTCCATACTCCTTCCCCATGTTCTTGCTCTTCACGTTGATCTGTGGCTCCACCGGCCTCGGTGTGGTTGGCTGCTTCTTCACTGGAAGGGTCTCGTTTGTGGTGTCTACCTTGGTCGTCTCCTCGAGCGTTTCTTGTTGTTGTTGTTGTTGCTGTGCTGAAACTGAAAGTACCCTTCTGTTGTTGTTTCTCAAGTGTCGTTTGCCAACCATACCTGCCGTGGAGAAGGCCATGTAAGATGATGATGCAGCAGATGCCATTGATGAATGCTGGTCGAGAGAGTGAAAATGGGATAATGGGTTCTGCTATGGGTGTTTTGGTGGAACTTTCTGTTGCAACCATTTTCAGTTGGGAAGGCTTTGTGTAGGGCCAATGTGCTTTAGGTCCATTTATTTTTGGGGATAGGATAAAATTTGGGTATTTCACTACAGAAATGGAGGGTAGAAGAAAGAGCGCAGGTCCATTTTTTTCTCGCATGAGCTAAATTTATTTTATTTTATTTTGGCAGGTTCCTGTAATTTGCTGATAGAATCGGGATTAGCGTGCGTTGATATCGTTGGATTGTACCGTTCAGTAGTGAAGTGTGATTTTATGGCGCTAGCCAACGCCCTACCCCTATTGACGCTCTAGCAAAATCAAATCCAACTGTTGCAGCAGGTAATCCTAAAACTGGAAATTGTTTGCTTCAACATGATAATGCATCCAGAAGAATTGGCAGTTTATCATACCCATGCAAAAGCTGAGATTTTTTCAAAAATTAGCAACTGGATGGGAAAAGTTCATTTGCTTCTAAGAAAGGCCGCATGTATATGTAGAGATTAGGTAACAGATCACATAAAGCTGTATCGATTCATTACATTCTGCCTTACACAGTTAATTACAATTGGGCAAACCTAGAAAAATCCTAACACCCTATTTCTTTGGCTCTAACATCCTCTATCTTAAAAAGGGACCAGTTGTGCTACCTAAGGAACCTAATCAAAACTGAGAAGTGACAACAACAACAAAGTCACCTACCTGCGCCATCTTGAGGAACTGCAGAGCTAACCGAATACCATCTTCGATTCAAACCCCCCAACTATACAGGCTACCAAGAACTAAGACAACAGAAGATGAATCTGCACATTCTGATTCCTTCCAGAGGCACCTCACTGTTCCTATTAAGCGCCAACGCACCACTGTCCTGATAATGGCAGTAGTCATCTGATGTTCAATATCCGGACTGGCTTAATTAGCTCGTCCAGATTACTTACTTCCAAGTCTTCCAGGTCCTCCCCATCATCACTCCAGTTCAGTTGCTCATCGATATCATCGTCATCTCTTCGGTTGTTGCTGCATTCTTCTCCAGCAGCTTCCTCATCATCACTGAAGCCAAGGCTAATAAAGTCGGCACCTGCATCTCCAATTTCGCTCAACGGCCGCTCGACAACAGAAGTTCCAGAACGGGAAGCAGCACTGACACGTGCAGTTGAACTAAAGTATCGCCCATGTCCATGTTGGTTCTTCTCCCGTAATCGCTTGTAGGGTTTCTTTCCTTTGACACGGTTCTTTCGGTGGTGAAGCTTACATTTGGATCCCTGGGGACAAGTTCCTGTTGCTTCGTAACTTGGGCAGACGTAGCTATGCTTCTTCTGACACTGTGTACCACATTTCATGTTGCAGAAATTCACAAACAAAAGAGAGAGATGCATGCAATAGATGAGTTAAACATATGATCCCTGCTTCACGGAGGTCGCAAATATCAACCCCAACCCACCAACCTAACCCACGCACTTAAAACCCATCTAATCCCAACCCCATTTGATCGAAATCCCATTGGTTGGTGGGCATATGAGTTGGGTAGAAGCATTTTTGCAGAACTAACATTAAATAAGTACCTAAAGATTCCTGCATACATTTTAACACCTAAACTTTCACAATTGTGCCGACTGGTGCATTTAAATCTAACTTTTCTTCTTCACGGAATACTGCAGTAGCCTTATTTAGCTATTTACAAACTAATCCAGCGATCATTTTACATTTTAACCCACAATACTTAAGCTTAAACCAACGGGCCTTAAACTTGGCAACAACTCTCCAAACCACATCAATTTCCAAGGGATGCCAACAACCCATAATTTAAAGCTCAATCCACAAACTCGGAAACCCATTTAAACACAATCCGCCAACCTAACTCATTTGCTACCCTCTGGTTCCACGTCAATACAGAAGGCAAACCGTAAACCCATAGTATAGCTAACATGTAGAAACAGGGAGGAAATTTTGTCATCTTCATTGAAGACATTGCACCACAAGTTCGCCGGCTATTATCAGTGTACCAGGCATACTTCACAGGGTTGAAAATACCCCACACGATTTCATTATCAGGAAACAATCAGTATTTGCATGCGAAGTTAAGAGTCAGAATAGTTACCTCATTTCCGTCAGCACAATATCCTTTAAGAAATCCTTCACACGTAGAGGCACTTCGGCTGACATTCACATGTCTATATGGGCAACTTTTGTTTGTGCAAAGACCTGCCAAACTAATGGGTGTTAGAACTATTGCATTCTTTCTCACCAAGGATTGTATGCAAAGCAGAACAGAAGTAAAATGGACCACCTTGCAAAAAGTAAGAGCAATCGGGCATCCTTTCTGGAATGACCTGTTAAAGTACATTACAATCATAAGCCAAAACTTTGAATGTAAAAGTAGCACAAGTATTACGAAGGAGTCTCATCTGGCTCGGATATTATCATGACAAACCTTGTGAGTCAATTTGCAGTCAGCATTGGAACATAAGCCATTGAGAAACTTCGTGCACACTGCAATTTTGGAGGGATCATGAATGTATGGACATTTCCCATCATCATCTTTGTTGCACTTGCCAAATCTTGTGAAGAACTGACAGTACTTCCGCTTCTTAGCAAGCCTTGTCCTTGCAGTGTGCAAACTCCATCTAACTTTCTCACTCGCCAAGATGCGACTTCGCTTCTTGGGGTTTCTAATGAGTTTATTTCCACTGCCAATCCGGACGTATCTGCCAATATTCGGAATTTTGATTATCTGGTACTCGATACTCTAGAAAACCATGTATAGATATCATCAACTGAATACATAAGGAATTATAAAGTAAAGATAGTAAGACATACTCATCTTTTCCTATCGTAAATCGTCTTGGGACATATGGTTTCTTGGCCTCCTTCTCGGTTTGTGGTGCACAAGAATACGCAGATAGTTCATCTACGCATAATAAATGCCAATTCATTCATTAGACCTATTTGATGTAATAAGCATGCACTTCATGACCATAAGTTGTAGGTTTCAATCAAAACAATCAGTGTGCTTCATGGCATTAGCACACAAATGGCAAGCATTACATCTGATGACACCATTAACGAGGGACACTCGTGAGGATTCAGATCCTGGAAACAGTGAATGTGAAACATTGGCAATCTACCAGATGAGACGTTCTACATTGGTCATATTACCTCACACTCTAGAGCTAAACAAATCCAAATCTGTTATGAGTGACACTACGAATGACATACACCACCGGACCGTAAACTGGGGGGGGGGGGGGGGGGGGGGGGGGAGGGTGAATATTCAATTGTATATAACTTAATCTTAATTGAAGGATCACAGAGACATGCATAGGGTAAGGTCAGAAACTGGAAAACAAACTACAATCCTGTTCTTAAAGTTCAATAAGTTAGTTGCTGATATGCTGATACCACATTGCATATTTAAACTGACTTTTAATATGATTTGGAACATATCGAGAGAAAAAAGGAAAATGGAACTCCAGAGTAGCAGCAAGACAAACCTGATACTCTACGAAGGGTATGACCTGAGGGATCCATTACAAATGAGACTACAATCCTAAGTTGATGCCAATACAAGATGAGCAGGGAAGGCCTAGACGGTTAAAATGACTTACTAGGAGAATTATTTCTATTCTTGGTCTCGGGAACAAGATCCCCGACTCCATTTTGTTCTCTTTTTTTCTTGTCCGCCGCAGCAACTTCCAGAGTAGCTTCCTGTACTTCCATAAAAAAAATTATAGACCGGTATCTAACCCTCAAATTAATAAAGAAAATCAGCCAAAGCTACGAAAAGAAATACTCGGAACAAACCTCGTTAGCTTTCTTGGAACGGCTTTGAATGGATTTTGACCACTTCAAGCTAGAACCACCAACACTTAAGACCTTGGATTTTCGGAGTGAAAACCCATGTTTTGACCTCGTGTAAATGGCATCATGGCTTCTTGAGAGCAGCAATTTCTTACTAAAAGATAGCAGCAAATTTGTACCATTCAGAGGAAGGAAATACTGAAGAACTAAAATACACACCACAAGAGTTTAAGAAAGCACCATATGGTACGATACCTAATTATAGAAGAAATCTTGGAACTGGATAATGAACTTGGCAAGAAGTTTCTCCGGTAGGTTGCTCTTTTCCAAGGAAACAAGTTAGGTAGGATTCTCTGATAGTGCAATGCATGACATTTATCCTTTGATGACTTTGTACCATTTAGCGTCCAGACGAAAGAATACTTGGATGGTTTCTTTATCTTTGTCACAACTGTAAAAACATTAAACCAGCTTAGCATTGCATTTGCTGCATATATCAAGTCCAAGCAACACAAGAAGTGCAGTTTGAAAATGGTCCCAGCTTCATAGACCAGGGAGCAAACCTCTTCTTACTAATAAGGTTTACTAAACAAGAATGAGGTGGCCTGTCAAATTAGAACAGATAATTCTCACTTTCATAGTTCATATTTCTTTTCCCATTCCCAGTAATGAGTAAAACGACATGAATGAAGAAATTCTACAGCCACATTGTTGCTGAATCATAGATAGTTGAAATGTTTAAACCCAGAAGGATAGACAGGACTATAAATTAAATAACTCCAAGTATGAGTTTTCACATGACAATGCATTGAAAAAAATATTAAGCAAGTACATAAAGCGGCAATAGCAGGGAACACATGTGCACAAATTACAACTGCTTACATACACTGCACAAACTAACAAGTAAAACCAATTAAGTGCTTTTGTGATACAACATTAGCTGGGGGTGATCAGTAAAGCCCAAATCCATATCACCCATTCCACATAGAAGAGGCTGTAAAGGACCACGATAAGTTTCCTCTGTGATTTTACAAGTAAAGGCATAATATCTAGAATGATAGAGATGGTATTCAAGGAAAATGCTGCTCAGAAGGCATATAAGCTACGCCAGTTTCATGACATGCATCCAGAAGAAACAAAAACTGAAACAGAACTTCATCACACGCACCTTTGCGCAACTGTCTCTTGCTAAGACTTCCGCTCGATTTCATACCCAGTGCAGGGTTCCCTTCAAAGTTCCTATCATCAGAACTTCTACCTCCCGGTTTTAGGCCATCATCCAATGTAGCCCTAACCAGCTGATTTCTTCTTCTTTTGTAATAGCTTTCAGAGGACAGAGCTTGGCTATCACAAGGACCATGTGGCAACACAGTGGAGAGACTCGAGGTGG